CAGGGGCTCTGCGGCAGCCCCGAGGGCAGCTGGCGTCTGCAAAGCAGATGATCTCTGCACGAGTGAGGCAGGCTGGTCTCTGGGCTGGCATCTGCAGAGCACATTATCTCTGGGGCAGATTTTATTGATATCGGAGTTAATTCCAGGGCCTGAGGAGGGGCCCCTGCATCTTTGGAAGAAGCAGAGCTCCCACTGCACCCGCTACTATTAATCATAGACCCTGGGGGATCCTGCTGGGGGAAGCACACAGCCCTTTGCCACCGCAGCGCAGGGAAAACCCCAGGCAGAACCTGAGGAGGGAGGACACCCGAGATGAGGACACTTTCGGGTGTCTCGCCTCTGCAGGGGTGACATCCATGTACTGCTCCAAAAGGATCCCCATCCCTGGCTGGATCATGGGTGAGGTACAGGCTTCTCAATGCACAGAGATGTGGTGGGTTTGGGATGCTCAAAGGTCCAGCCCAGCAGCGCTGTATTGATCTGTGTGGAGCACAGGCTGTGCTCCTTTCTCTCATCTCCCATCCTTTCCCCCTGTCCCCGTGCAGCAGCACAGCAGACTCACATGTGTCACCTGCAGCCTTCCAAGACCTGGAGGGGATGATGCAGTGGGTTTTGCCCCTTGCCAAGTCCCAGAGCTGGGCTGCTGCCTGGCAGTTGGCTGGATTCTGTTAAAGTCACTTAGGTTTTGGTAGCATTGATAACAACAGCAAAGCTGTTCTGGGTGCTGCAGAAATCACTGCCAGTGTTGGCAGTGCCAGATTTGAGGCCTTATCAGCTCAGCCTTATCAGTTCTTATTCCCATCCAGCCCAAGACATTCCATATCAAATTGAAATCTCACATGTGGCCTCCTGCAATAAGGAGCTGCCACAGGGTTAAGGGTGTTTGTGGGGTCTGTGGAGGCCTAGGCACTGCAGGGTCGCAGGAATAGCACCAGAGATGTCCCCATGAAAGACAGCCCTGAGGGTTCATGTCGGATGCTGCCTGTCCCACTGAGGCACTGTGCTGGCCTAAACAACCCCTTTGGTACACAGCTAAGCCTATGTCTGCATCATTCCAGGGCCAAGCTCTGTGTTTGTGGTATTGGTCGCTTCCTTGGGATCGCCATCCTACCACATCATCTCCCCTATGCTCCCTATGATGACTGCAAGAGCCAGCCAGGAGCTGAACCCCCCCAGTACCGACGTGCTGTCACTTGGGTGCACAGATGGCCCTGGCCGCTGGCTTTGTTCATGCAAACACAAGGGCAGTGTATTTCCTCAGCAGGCAGAACTGATTCAAAGGCTCCAGCCTGGAAATAAAACAAGGATATATTCTTTGCAAGCATGACTCTGCTAAAACCCTTTCATTGCCTCCCATGTGGCCATGGGATTCCCTAGCCTTGCACAGGCAAACTGCTCTGCCTTTCCCCAGCCTCGCTGTGGGCAATGCTGAATTCATGCTGAGTTTCTTGTGCATTTCATCGAGCCTGGTCTCAGTGACACCCTGCAGCAGCAGTGGCAATGTCCTTCAGTCCATCTGTACTAGCACAGCGACTTGCCCAGCCCAGCTCATGGCCCAGCTGCCCAGAGCCCCTCACCTGCACACGTGGCAGAAAGGGATGGGGGTCTGTGCCCTGACCAGCCCCAGCCTTCTGAGAGGGCTCCTCTCTGAGAGGAGACTTGGATGTTTTGAACATGACCTGCTGTGATTTGGCCCAAGCCCTGGAACCGCACATGAACCAGCACTGGGGACACTGCTGGAAACAAGAGATTTAGGGTCAAAACATAAATTATTCTCTTTGCGTGGACTTTCCTGCATGCAAAAGAATAACTCTGGCCCCCAGGCCCCTGCTAGGAGCAGCGTGCATGACAGCCTAGCTGGGATGCCCAGCTAGTGCCTAGGTGGGGGTACGGGTTACTTGCTGCTGCTTCCACCCAAACAGCAGAGAATTTTGCTCCTGCTGTGAATCCTTGTGCTCGCTTGCACCTGCTGCTCCCTGTTCACAGACCTTCTGTGGCCAGCACAGATGGTGCTTTGCAGCCTGCGGTGGTTTCTTAGCAGACTTTGGGAGAATCCTGTACAAGGAGGAGGGCCTGAACCCCAGCCTCCAGCATCCCTGCACTTTAACCCCACTTCTTCAAGGGCCAAACAATCAGGCCCGCAAAATTCTCCAGCAGAAGACAGAGCTGCCAAATAGCCAGAGACAGAACAAGCCAGAGGCTTGCTTCCGAAAACATGGGGACACCAGATGAAGTTACTGGATACCACTGTAGCTGCAGTGACCTCCTGTGTCTCCAGCACTGCTGTGGGATCAAGCCTGGTTTAGCTCAGCCCCCTGGAAGTGGGCAGACCTAGGATGATTCCTGGCAACATGATGAAGGCCAGCTTTGCACGCAGGGACACTCATTGTGGATCAGTTTATGTGTGGCAACTTGCTGGGCTGCCCCCAGTTGTTGGCCTAAGCAAATGTAAGAGGTATGCAATGTCCTGGGCTGCTCCTTGCTGGCAGTTCCTTGTCCTGGGCTGCTCCTTGCTGGCAGTTCCTTGCTGTGAGGATGTGTTGAAGATGCTCTGTCCTTGCTTTGATGCAGGATATAGTTCTCACTTTGATTTTCAGAGAGAAGAAATGCAAGCATCTAGTAATAGCCCCTTGATATTCTCTAATTAATTCCTGGTTTGCTTCATTAACACTCAACAACAAATCACGTTAGCTTTGCATTGGGAAAACCTAACACAAACTTCCCTCTGAAATCACAAACAGAACTGCCAGCTCTGTTACAGGGATGCCAAGAAAAACACAAGCTAAGCAAGGGTCTCTTGCGTGCCCACAGGTACACAGAGGGGCAAACAAGGTAATGGTGAGAAACTATTTGGGAAAGGCCAGATACCGAGGACTGATCTGCACAGATCTGAAGAGTGAGCTGATGCTGAGCTCCACTCTCTCCCTGTTTCAGGAGAGCCACTTTGGACTCACCCTCTCCTGGTTCTGCTTCAGCTGCACTGCATTAGTCAGCGTGCTGCTGGAGGGCATCTTCCAGGCTGTGTCCCTGGGAGAAGTCCAGGTCCTGCTGCAGCTCTGCACACAGGCATCCTCAGGCCAGGAGTACTGCGCATACATGGTGCAGCTGCGCTGCAGGCTGCTGGTCTGAGCTGAGCAGTTTCCACATCCTGCTCTGCGTGGCAGTCTCCCTTGGAGTCTTGCAGTCGAGATGATACTGATGGAGTCTGGCTGCTGCTGGGATCTGAACCCTGGCAAGAAGGCCTTGAACTTTGCTGGTGGCTGGTTCATGCACACGAGGGTACAATAAATTCCTCCCCATTGTCCCTCATGGGGCAGTCCAGGGCACTCAAAGTAGCAAGAAACTCAGCCCCAGCTCTAAAGCCTGTGGCTCGCTGAGATCCAAATGGGATCTTCAGGACACATCCTCTCTGGTGCACTCGGAGGCAACCTAGGGATAGAAGTTAGCACAGTGCTATCTTCATGCATCTGCGCAGCCTCTGACTTCCACAGCAGTGAGAGCTCTGTGAAGGATATGACCAACGTCACCAGCAGAGATAAAGATGCCATTGTCATCATAAATTAGCAAAACATTTAAAAAAAACCAAACCCCCCAAATAAACAAACAAGCGCTATGAAATCATCAGCAAAAATGAACAAAGTGGGCATGTAGGAAAAGACGCCGTAGGAAAATCCAGCCGGAAACCTCCCCCTCTCACAGCTGGTGCGGGGAGAAGTTTGGAAGGAAACAAGCCCAAACTTTGCTGGTTTTGCATAGAACAATGGCGAGCCGTGCGGTGTCGCGCCCCCTCGGCTGCGGCTCATTGCTGCCATCGCATGTCCAGCCCCCGCTGTACAAGCCGCATTTCCCTCACCACGCTCGGGACTGAGCCAACGCAGCCTCTCGCTTGGAGGAGTTTCCCTCCAGCCCGGGAGATCCTCATGTTTGACACGTTCGCTGTGCTGGTTCCTTATGGCACGAAGTGTTTGCGCCATCCCGGTGCACGCACGGCATCTGCCATAATCCTGTGCTGATCCCCTTCAGCTCTTGCAGCCCAATAAAGCCTGGCAACCTGCCCCTCCCCATTGACAGCAAAGCGAGGTGTTGCGACCATCTCTCCTGTCCTCTTCACGGCAATGCACTGCTGCTGCCCCAGCTGCAGCCCCTGCACCCACCAGGGATGGGGGGAAGCCGGGGGGAAGCCGGGGCGGGGGGGGGGGGGGAAACAAAAAGCTGTCATGAATCAAACCAGCCGGATGTGCTGATTGCTTTCGCTTGTCCTCCTGCTCCCTCGGCATGGGCAGAGCGGCTTGCGGCTGGCCCGGGCCACGTCACTGCACCGTGTGCTGATGGGGAACCCGCTCCCACCTGCCCACAGCCCTGGTTTGACGGGACCTGCCTGGATCTGCATTCGGAGTTGGCACAGGCTGCATCCGCTTCAACCTGAGTCACAGAGCTGCACATAAGCACCCTGCTGAGCAACACCTCAACTGTCCACCAAGGGTGCCGGGTGCTGGAGGGTGCAGCGCCACGTGCCCAGCGCCTGCCTTGTCTCAGCAGCCTGTCCCACCATCGTGTCCTGCCTTGCCTGGCCCTGGAGCTCGGCTGTAATGGCAGGAGCAGCCCGGTGTGCGCTGGTCTTGCTCGGGAGGGCAGGTGGCATAAGAGCAGCTCGAAACACTGGCACGGGCTGGCTGCTCCTCCAGGAAAGGGTTTGCTCCCAGCCCTCCCGAGGTGTATTGACTAAAGCCCTCTCTGCTGTGGGCCATGCTGGCTGGTTCAGTGACACGGGCAATGGCCCAGTCGTGTGTCCCTGCTCTGCAGAAATGAGGGGTAAAGAATGAGCCTGAGCCTCTTCTTCTATGGGTGCATCCTCCCCTGTCACAACCATGCATGTGCTTCCCCCTGCTCCTTCCCCTCTTAACTCGCTCACTGGCATCAAGTTTTGAACTCCAGTTGCTCCTCACTGCCCCAAACTTGTCCTCAGCCTGGGTGTCATGGGTTTGTGGTACTGCAGTGAGGTCCCATCTACTCTTTGCCCTGTGTAGAGAACTTTGCTCTAAGCCCAGCTCAGACCCACATCTAGGGATTAGAAACCAGGCTCTGAACAGCACCGAATGGTCAGCAATAACAGTGTAAGATTTACTGCACCTTGTTACAGAGACTTCTTGAACATTAAGTGATGCCAGCCGCTGCATACAGCAACCACAAGCACTTACTCAAATCCACACCAGGAACCTGCTATGGCACTGAAATTACTGTTGTAAGTAATAAAAACTACTGAAAAATGTTCTAATTTGCCCACTGCCTCAGGGATGCTTCGGGATACTTGGGGGATGGGGATACTGTTGTGATCTGGCTGCTGCTCCTGGGACAGGACCATAGAAACCGTGCCCAGGAGCATCACATGGGGCAGTGGGAGAGGGTTAATAGCTCTACCCCTTAACTCCCCAGCACTGATGCCTCAGGACTGGCAAGAGCTGCACCCCAGGTCCTGCTTCAGCAGCACGTGCAAGGGCACGTTTTGTTGTGGGCCGTGCTGGCTGGTTTGGTGACACAGGCGATGCCCCCATCTGCGTGACCTGTGTCCAGGCAGTGCATTCTCCAGCAGAGCAGGAGGACAAGTGGAAGCAACCAGCACATCTGGCTGGTTTTATACATGAGAGCTTTTTGCTTCCACCCTGTATTTTCCCTCGCCTCTGGTGGGTGATGTGGGTGCAGCTGGGCTGCAGCAGCGCGTTGCCATGAAGAGGACAGAAGAAATGGACATTGCTGCCCGTAGGGATGGGCAGGGTGCTGCCTAAACTGCCTGCAGGGTCTTTATTGGGCTGCAAGAGCTGAAGGGGATCAGCACAGGATTATGGCAGATGCCGTGCGTGCACCGGGATGGCGCAAACACTTCGTGCCATAAGGAACCAGCACAGCGAACGTGTCAAACATGAGGATCTCCCGGGCTGGAGGGAAACTCCTCCAAGCGAGAGGCTGCGCTGGCTCAGTCCTGAGCGTGGTGAGGGAAATGCGGCTTGTACAGCGGGGGCTGGACATGCGATGGCAGCAATGAGCCGCAGCCGAGGGGGCGCGACACCGCACGGCTCGCCATTGTTCTATGCAAAACCAGCAAAGTTTGGGCTTGTTTCCTTCCAGACTTCCCGCACCAGCTGTGAGAGGGGGAGGTTTCCGGCTGGATTTTCCTACGGCGTCTTTTCCTACATGCCCACTTTGTTCATTTTTGCTGATGATTTCACAGCTATTCCTTTTCTTTTTTTTTTTTTCTAATGTTTCTGCTGTTTTATGGCCCTGCTTTCCCTGGCAGGGCAGGGCGCGGGCTGAAGTGTGTCTCTCCCGTCACGGCACAGCCGAAGGAGATCCCCGGAAGGCTGGAGCAGCTCTCAGCACTCCCCAGCTCCCCGGGCACAGTCGGACCTTTCCTCTCCCAGGAGAACAAAGCGCCCCATTGTGCAGGGCAAACGGGGAGGGAAGAGTGACGGGGCAGCGAGAGCCATGCAGGGAGAGTGCTTCTATAGGGCCTCAAGAAGGGGTCACCCACTGCTTGTGCCAGACCCATGGCTGCTGACCCCGTTTTCAGGTGGCTCCGTGCCAGCCCTCGAGCCTAGCTGCAGCGCTGAGTCCATCCGGGCTGCTGGAGGGAGCTCATGTCCAACAGTCCTGGGTTGTCTGACATGCCCCATGTTTTTTTTTGTGGGTGTGTTGCATGTGGTGGTGGGACAAGGAGAGGTTTCCTTCCGCCAGGCTTGCTTGGAAGGCTCCTGCTGCAAATGCCACCTTCAGACACAGCTGCTCACTGGAAATGGGCTCCAAAAACAGGCTGTTGGGGTCCATGTCTGGCAGGGCTCCACGGCTCCTTGAAACATGCTTTCCTCCTGTGGGAAAAGGGGGGGGGGGAGGGGGGATAAAATCAGGATGCCTTTGCTAGCAGCCGGTCCTAGAAATGAGTCAGGAATTTGCACTGTGATGATACAGCCCAGCGCTGCCAAGCCGGCGGTCTGTACATCCCTGTAGGCTGTCTGGGGACACAGGGACACTGAGCGTGCTGCCTGTCCCCACCTCCCATCTGGCTGCACACATGCAAATGTGTGGCAAGTTGCTTTGTTGAGTGATAGCGGAGATTTTGGGGGGCTGTTGCTTGGATTAGTGAGCTACCGGCCCTGTCGCGGCAAGGAGGAGGGTGAGGAGCATAAAGGTCCTGGCACTCGCTGGGCTTGCAACAAAACAAAGCACCAGATGGTTTCAACTTCGGCATAATACATGGTGGAAAACTATTTGAACTGGGGCTGAAAAAGCAAATGTGGAAAGAGAGAGAGAAACAAAAGAAAGGAAAACCCTCAGCAAGTGTCAGAGCAGAAGAAAGAGTTGGAGAAAAATGGCAAATGTTAAAGACCAAAACAAAAAGCCCTCTCCCAGCGCAAAGCTCATGGCAGGCAACATCTGTCCAGCAAAGCCTCTTGCCAAAGGCCCCCTTCCCTGTAAAGTCACCTTTTTCGTTGCCTGTTGTGACATGGCCCCATCCCTGGACAGGGCTTTGGGGGACGTGTTTGGTGCTGCCATGTCCCATGGCCATGGCATTGGCATGGGGGCAGCTGGCAGTGATGTGTGGACACTGGGGCAGCAGAATTATCCCTGCTGCAGCAGGCTAATGTCTTATCATGGTTTTTAGCTCACATATGGTGTCCCCATAGCCGGTGGGGCTGTGTGGCAAACCAGCTCACATCTCCACTGCAGGGCCTCGTGGAGAATTTAGTTTGATTTCCTATCGAAGGCTTATGCAACCTGCAATGTGTGCATGTATATGGCTGCGAGGCTTTTGTGTTCCCCTTGCTCCTCCCCCATAAACACTTGAACCTGCAGACCAACTTCAGAGATGTCTTAGAAAAGGGAAGAAGGCTTCAAAGTTGTTACATTCCCTGGCATTTTTGCAAAATGAGCAAAATAAGCTCATGCAATTGTGTGAGAGTAGATTGCAGTGTTAGTGTGTGTGTGTGTGTGTGTGTGTGTAACTCCTTGTTAGCCATCAGAGAATCCACAAGCCATAACCCTCCACGACATTTGGCTTCCTGCCACTCAGCCTGTGCTGCTGGCGCTGAGGAGTGTGAGCGGCTGGTGGCTCTAATGGTGGCTGCTGAGGTTTAAATAAGGGTTTGAATTTTGAGGTGCCCATGGGAGGTGCGTCAGTGCCCTGGACCCTCACCCCCTATGGAATGGCTTATGGGGCAGAGGGTGATCTCTTTCCCCAAAGCAAGTGGAAGACACAGGTGGGTTTGTGTGCTGAGACACCATGGGTGCTGGAGTGAGTGACAGGACTGGGTGCCATGAGGTGCAGCATGGTGACACAAGGACACCCATGGGGGATGCCAACTCTGCAGGCCCTGGGATGGCAGGGATCCAGGGTGCCATGTCTCCCAGGCAGGGGACAGCGGGGTGACATCATGCCATGACCTTCAGACATGGGGCAGCCCAGATGCGCCATTGTTTGGTTTTTTTATGTAGTGAAGGGCTGTAGGGCCATGTCCCGAGGGGTGCAGAACAGTGGGGAGCCGGGATGATGCCCCCTGGGGTGCGAGATGGTCAGAACTAACGTGATGCCACTCAGGGGGAAGGACAGCGGGGACCACGGCGGTGCGAGACACGGGGCGGACCCCACGCAGCCGTTGGCAGCTGCGCGGGGCGCTGCCGGTGCCGGCCACAGGGCGAGAGCGGGTGGTGCCTGCGGGACCCCGCTGCACAAAGGCTGCCGGTCGCTCCCGCTCCAGGGCCGCCCCTACTCCGGGACCCAATAAGCGCCGCTGCATTTGAACGCGGCGCCGCCTCTTTTCCATTCCGTTCTGTTCCGCTCTCTTCGCAACGCTCCGCCGAGCCGGCAGCTGCGCCGAGTGAGCCCGGGAGGGGAACGGCGCCGCGCCGTCGGGGGTGGGGACATACCGGAGCACCGCGGTACAGGGGTGCGCTGAACTCCGGAGCTGGGGCGGGGGGGATGTGAGGCTCTGGCAGCCGCCGGTCCCTCCTCCGCGGGCGGTGCTGGGGCGCAGCCCGCCCCTTCCAGCCGTGTGTGCGGGGCCCCGGCCCGGGGAGACCCGGTAAGGTGGGTGCGAGGGGACAGTTGGGGGGTGCTGCGGAAGGGAGGGGGGTCCCGTAGTCAGAGGGTGCGATGTGGTGATGGGGTTTTGAGGAGTGGGGGAGCCACGGCAAAATCATCGTGGCCCCGGTAGTGGCAGCAGCACCGGTGGCAGAACCCTATCTCGCGGTGCACCGTTGTCCCCGGACAGCTGGCTTTGATGGCCACCCTTGAAGAGCTGAGTGTGCTGTCAAATGATTTAGTGGTATTTGGGTGCTCTGAACGCCCCAAAATGCTGGGAATGGGAGCCGGTTCTGGCCCAGTTCTCTTCAGGTTTGAAAAGCAGCAGGCTGAGGCTGGAGGAATTTGTAATAGCAGTTGTTTTGTCGTAGGCGAAGTCCCCGCTGTCACCAAGGCGGCAGACAGCATCTGCTGTCTGGCCGCAAACCGTGGGCCCCATCACCTCTGGCGCATCCGGGTAAGGATGGGGTTGAGGCTATGAAACCCAAACCCGCAGCCTGGGGGGCTCAGCCCCCAGAGCAGGGTGCACCCGGGGTTTGCCGCACAAGCGGGTGTCAGTTTGGGGGGGTGTGTGTGTTTATCCTGCCCGTCTTTCCCATATGCTCACCAAAACGGGGATTATGGCAAAGGCCCGGTCCCTGTAGTATGATGGGCATTGCCGCCGTGATTCAGCATGGACTGGGTTTACCGGAGCCAGCGCGGGGCTGAGCTCCACAGGAATTACTGTATCACTGACTTCCTGGTGTGCGAGGTACCACTGGTTAAATTGACAGCTCGCTTTGTTTACTTCTGAAATTATCGGCTTTGTGCCTCTACCTTGGGCTTTATGGAACGCAGGCTCCCCCAGTTACTGCAGCCGGGTTTGAAAACCAAACCAGATGGGCGCATTGTTTTTCTTTATGGAGGGGAATGCTGCTGATTGAAAGGCCCTATTACAATGCAAATACCAGGGTGGTGTGAATATTCAAAACACTGCCTTCTTTTGAAACTCTTTACATAAATCGATAGTGCTTTATAAGCTATCACTGCTTTGCTAATCTGGAGTGGAGCTTGGTTAACAGAATCTCCTTTCTCTGCCAACTTTGGAGGGTTTGCATGTGTTTTGGGAGCACGGTGAGAGGTGGCATTGAGGTGCAAAGCAGCCAGTGCCAAAAAATTATGGCTATGCTCAATGGGGAGGAGGAACCGCCAGCTGTAAAGTTTGACTTCAGTGGTGACCCTTGAAGAGTCGGGTGTGCTGTCAAGTGATTTACTGATACTTGGGTGCTTCATTGCCCTTTTGGGTTTTGTTTTTCCCTTCTCCTTGCTTTCTTGGTGTGACCCTTTGTGGATGGGTGTTGCAGGGTGGGCTGAGCTCAGAAATCACCTTGACAGAGGCAGTGGGGGGGGGGGGGGGTTGGATGTGTACTGAGTGAATTGCTGCAGCTGCCATGGATGAGATGGTTCATTAGGGGAAAGAGATAATGAGTTAGATGAGACAACCTTAGCTCTGAGTTTCCATCAAGGGCTTTAGGGTCCGATTTTGGTGGCTGATGGACATCTTGTCATAAATTCTGCCATTAAAAATTGGGGTCCTGTTGTTTTTTTGCCAGTTGCGTTCACATCATCCTTGTTGGCTCAAGTGCAGGGAGAAAGGCAAGTTGCTTTTAACGTGGTCACACCTGGCCTTGCTCTTCAGCATGGGGTGGATGCCACCAGATAGTTACATCTCGGGGAGTGGGTGTTCGTGTTTTGAAGGTGGCCACATGATGCTGCTCTGTTGGACACTTACCTGCATCTACTTGCCATGCCCTCATTTGAGTTGAGGCAATCAAGTAAGTAGGAGCAAAGCAGCATTTTCCATGCTGTCTCTTGAAGGAGACTACTTGCTCCAGGCCACTGCCTTCTGTGGAGGGCTGGTTGGGATGGAGGCAGGGTAGCCCATAGCCCTGGAGAGGGGCAGTTGGTGATGGCAGCCCATGAAGGCATTTGGGCAGAGCATCCCTAAAATCCCCAGCTTGTGCCATTGAGCAGCTTGCATGAATGCTGTTTGCATTAATACTGTTTTGCACCAAAAAAAAAAAAGACATTGTGCTAATTGTGGTGTTTTTACTTGTTGGTGCCATAGATTGACCAGGCAGTCTGTGTCTTCATCGGTCAGAAGCTGAAGCTTCGAGCTTGGTATTGATTCCAGGAATTTAATATGCCAAGTGGTAATTCCTGCTTATGCCTATACCGAGTTAAATTTAGCTGCAAATTCAGTTGTATCAGGCCCCCACATTGTGTGCTGTGAAGGTTATCTGGCTCTCAGGAGGGGGTGGATTTAAAGGAAGGAAGGAAGGAAAAGAAATGCTGGTGAAAACTTCGTCTCATCATCCCTGACCACTATGCTTTTAGGGACTTGTAGGGAGAACAGGAATAAACAATAATGTGGTAAGGACTCCAAGTAGTTCTCCTAAACCCGCACCTTCCTGTGCTGTCTGCTCAAGCCGGTCATTTGGGGAGACTTAACATGGCACAGAAGGGCAGCTATAAATCTGAACAAAGTGATGCCCTATGTGGAGACCAGGGAGCCCCCACTCAGCTGCTGCCCACCCCTATTATCCTGCCTGGTGTGCGCTGCCCTTCTGCATCTCAGCTGCTGGCCCATCTGCAGTGGAGATGAAAGGCTGGGGTTTAATTCGGGCTTTGTGTGCCTCTTGTGCTCCTCCTCCCCTCCCCCCCAGCCCTTTCTCCATTGCCAGTCTCCCATCCCCTACCCTGCAGGGCAGCTCCAGTGCGCGGGTGCAGAGGGTGGCTGTGAGCTGGGGCTCTGATGCCGCTGACCTCATTATTTTGACTGCTGGGTGATGCCAGGCAGCCTGTGAGATCATCAGGTAGGAGGGTTGGGCTTTTCTTTCACCCCCCCTCAAAGCGCTGCTGAATAATTCAGCTGGGAGTAGGCATCTTGGGTCACCTTGTGCAGCCGGCTGCCTGCTGGAGCCGGCTTCCTAAGATGGAGGTTGTGCAGGATGCGTGCGGGATCGCCTTGCTGCCAGCAGCTTGCCATTGTTGACTGACTGCAGGTAGGCGAAGAGCGTTGTCATTCTTTATTTCTGATGCTTGTTATGTTGAAGGTATGGAATCCCCTCCCCGGGCTGCGCGAGGGTGGCTGGGTCTCACTGAGCTTGTGTGGAGCTCCGACCATCCCTCGCCATGGGGATATGTGAGGCTGGCGGGGCCAAAAACCTCACCGGGGCGGTAGCGCAGCCCTGCCCCAGGCAGGGGCTATGCACCTGATGCTCTTCTCTTTTGGGGATTGTATTTTTCTTTTATGGGGTCCCAGGGTCCTTCAGCCCATCTGGACTCATCTAGGGTAGGTTTTGGGGGCTGCTTGATGGTATGGCTCTGAGACAGGGTGATCCCAATGTTCCAGCAGCATGGGTGCTTGGGGACATATTGGGAGGTGGCATTTAGGCTCTTTGTGCTGTCTGACTGGGGGAACTGGTTCTGGTAGTGTGATAGTAGGGTCAGGTACTGGTGAGAGAGGTCTCTGGTGGGCAGGAGGTGGCTGACTCTGAAGTAACTCATAAATGCCTGGGAAGCTCCATGGGTCGGTTTCACCTTTGCTGCAGGATCAGCTGTGAGCTCTGGATTGGGCAGAGCTCTCCCGGTGCTGGTACCCAGCAACACTATGGAGCCCCATGTGTGCTGAGCCACGGGTGTGGGTGGGAAATGGGGTTGCTGGCTTGAGAACAGAAAGTAGTTTGTTGCCTTCCTTCTGCTAGCAAGCACTTGAGGTTTTGGGTGCCAACAACTCCTCTGTGCCCTGAGCTGAATGCAAATGCATTTGTATCTTCACCTCTTCCCACAGTGCTTGGGTGCTTTGCTAAAGCAGCTCAAGTGGCATCTGGGGCAGGGCTATAAACCAGGGGACACCAAGGGTTTGGGGCTCAGGTGGGGCAATGTGGGGATGGGGGTGGGATTGTGTCCACTCTCTTGAGATGTTCTGTGATGCTGCCATCCTTGCCCATGTTGGCAAGGGAGGAAGGACAGCCAGGCTGGGCTATTTCTGTCCTGTGAACCCTGCATGCTGCTTGGCACCAGCCCTGCATCCCTCAGCAGGCACGGGAGTCTGGTGCTGCTCTGCACCGTCATCTACTCCTGTGGCCGGCAAAATCAAGGACACAGCTGCTGCAGTGCTACCCTGGATGTTTCCCACTTATCCAGCCACATTGGACAGGCTTTTCTAATTGCCTCCCTGCCATGGTGTGCTTGTGTGAGCTGATGTGATGGCTCACGATGTTCTAGAAGATCAGTGTTCCTCGAGGCTGCAGTAGTGGACAGGGCGTGAAATCAGGCTGCACCTTGCAGTTGGGGCAGCTTCAGTTGTTCCGGGATGTCCGTGAGCACTGTCAGTGACACAGGCAGCTGCAGGCACCCTGCAATGCTAAGACGGATAGTGGGAGGTGGCAGGGCTGGACATCGAGGGGGTTTGGATAGGGCTTCGTCTTTGGGAAATCTGGATGAGGTGACCGGCAGCAGCATTGGCAGAACAAAGCTCACGCAGAGGCCTGGCTGGCTCTTGCCTGATGGTCTGAGGCTGGCTGAACATCTCGGGCTATCCTTGGGGCACTGGGTCCCTGCAATGCCTATTGCCACTTGGTATGCCCTGTCGATGATGGCTGCAGTGCCTGTGCATGTCTGCTGCGGTGGCTGTGCATGCTAGAGCTGTGTCATGGCACTGGGCTATGCTGCTGCTGCATTGAGCCAGGCAGCCAGGCTGGGTAATGGGATGCCAGCTGAATCCTTCATTTCAGACAGGAAATATCCTTCCCTGTTCCCTGCCAGAACAGTTCCTGGGGCTATGATGCTCTGGTTAGCAATGGGATGAGAGAGATGAGAAATTGTTGACTTGGAGGGGAGGGTGAAGCTCTTGGGCAAGTGGTAAGGAAACCACCTTGGCTTTGTTTGCTGGTGCAGGAGACCAGGTATGTTTCAGCTGCCTCTGTGCTGCGCTCAGCTCTGTTCTGGGGCTGGGTTTGCTGCCATCCTAGCAGTGTCCCCTGTCAAACAGCTCTCTGCTTTCAGACAGGGTTTGATGTGAAGTGCCTGAAGCAGAGCAGTGCCATGGGACTGGGCAGTGATGCAGCGGGGACACGCTGGGGTTGTGGAGGAAAGCAGAGATGCTGCACACTGGCATCAACAGGGCTGACAGTGTGTTGGGGCTCCCTGAAGTCAGGCCAGCATCAAAATGAGCATATTTGGCACGAGGATGTGTTTTGTGTTCATGGAGGGAGGTGCATATGGTGGCTGGCTTGCTTGAAGTGTTTGGGATGAGGGCAGAGGCAGTAGTTGGGGTGTCTTGCCCTCCCCTCTGCACGCAGAGAGCCCCACACTTTTCTCCCTGCCACTGGTGAGCTGTGGCTGCTGGGATTATTGTTTATCTTCTCGCTAAGGTGGGCAAAGCATCACCTGTGACACCTGGGAACCAGAAGGGCTCAAGGGAGCAATTTTCCCCTGCAGCTCCTCAGCTGCTCTAGCTGAGACACTAATTGAGACAGTGTGGGGTGGCTCTGCAGGCTTGTCCCCGTGGTCTCTCTGCTGTGCAACTCCTGCCTTCACCTGGTGGGATGGAAGAGACTGTAGCAGTGGTAGAGCACTAGGTTCACTTGCTGTGAACAAACAGGTTCTTGGGCTGTCCCTGTACCAGCCCTTGGGGATTTTAGACTGCTGTGGGCACCGTAATTGATGTTAACTGGCCCCATCTCTCCCTGCAGGTGAGTGTGGCAGGCTATGGGATGGATGAAGCTGAGCAGGACCAGTATGAAGCTCGCCTCAAGGAGCTCTTTGACAGCTTTGACAGCACAGGCACAGGGTCCCTGGGGCAGGAGGAGCTCACTGACCTCTGCCATGTGCTGCACCTGGAGGAGGTAGCCCCAGCGCTGCAGCAGACCCTCCTCCAAGACAACCTCCTAGGCAGGGTAAGTCTGGGGTGATGGTGGGGGACAATGGGGGGCCTGGGAGCAAGGCAGTGGCAGGCAGCTGCTCCTGTGTGCATGGGAGGGTGATGGAAAGAGGCAGAACATCTGTAACCTGTGAATGTCCAGCACCTCTGAGGCTCTGGGGCTGCAGGACTGGCAGTGTCTGTTGGTCTGTTCAGCAGGGTGGGCACAGGGCAGCTTCCGAGGGGGGGATTAGTGATAAAAGGGAAGGAAACTGCTCACTGATGTGTCTTCCCTGACTGGAGGTAGTCTGCACTCTCAGAAACAACCACTGTATGTTTAGCCTTGCATGCTGGCATTGTGCTGATGCATGGTGTGTTGTCCTAGTGTCCAAGGCTGAGTGCTGGGTCCCTGCTGCCTTCACACTGGTGCTGGGCCCAGCACATGCTTGTTAACATTGTGTGTGTGCCCCCGGCAGTGGTTAGTGCTGCTTCTGGCCTAGGTCATCTCCCCAAACCAGCTCACCGGGTGCTTGCACAAACTGCAGGGCTGGGGAGGTATAGCCAGGACTTGAGCCTGTGATTTACCTTGACTTAAGCTGTGGTTAAACTGGTGGAGCCGCATGCAGTCATGCACATTTCTCAGAAGAAGAGGCTATTGTCCAACACCGGCAGTCGCTGGCTGAGCCACCTTTGTCTATGGTACCTGGTGCGGGGTTTGGGGGACCAATGGCTCCTTCTGCAGGGCTGCAGCATCCCACCAGCCTGAGGAGGGGAGCTGTGGCCAGTGAGCACACCATGCTTTCCAAAGTGACTTTTTCAGTTGTGGTTATACCTTTATAGAGTTAAATGCCAGGTTGTTGAGAGGAAGCTGCTTGCCCTTGGGGGAATCTCCATGTTCAGCATGGATGTCCTTGTGTTCGTGCATTATCTCTTTCCTGGCACACTGTGCTCAGAGAGTGTTGGATGCTTCCCTCAAAATCATCCTGAAATCCCATCACTGCTTACTAATATCAGAAAACGCAGAGCAGGCAATTGGGGCTCTCGATAGACATAAGCTAAGCAGCCATCCCAGCTCCAGTTTCCTATCAAACTGCAGCTTTCACAAAACAACTCCTTTAATGAACAAAGCCTCCTCTTCCTTGCCTGTCCTTGAGCAGTAGCTCTTCTGCTGAGAGTGAGAGTGCTGGAGAGCAGATGAATCCAGATAGGGGTTTCTGACCTCTGAAGTTGCAGTGTGGCACTCACTTGTGCGCTGGAGACTTTCTGTGCTGCTTGGACATCCTGAGCTTCCACTGCTCGGATGCTGCTCTCTGGCTTTGCTGCTTGCAGGATAGTGGGCTAGAGGTGAAGGAAGGGCAGTAAGGATGTGGTTGTCATGCCTGGTCAGGGCTAAAACAGCAGTGCCCATCCCTGTAGCCTGCTCAGAGTGGGAGGAAAGCAAGGTTAAATGCTGTAAATGCTCAGCCCAGTGGCACCAAAAAGCTCCTGCTAAAGCATCCCAAGTGCTGGTCATGCTTGCCCAGCTCCATCCCTGTGACCTGTCCCATGGCACAAGACATCCTGAGGAGCATTTTTATTTCGTTGCCCTGCTTTGTCTTGGGAATGGTTCTCGTTTACAGCCTGTGAATTGAATCATGTCAGAAGAATCCATCTCCTGTGCTTCCTCCCATCTCTCTGGCATTTGTGCTCGTTAGCAGCAGCAATGGCCCATGTCTAAGCGCGAGCCTGATTTAATAGCTATCGAATCCTCTGGGTTTCCTAGGGAGCTCATCAGGAGAATAGCAGCAAACATGTTGCTCCCTGAGTGCAGGCTCCGTGCACCTGCCCTGCCAGCTCCTTGCCGCAGATGGTCCCTCTGTGTGGTGGGAGCAGCCTTTGTTTGCCTTCACTTCCAGAGCCTGGGTTTTACAGGAGGGCACTGGGAAGGGGGGGCAGTGGAGGGACGGTTTTGTCTGCTGAGGGGCAACTCGGTGGGGCCACGTGCTTGCTTTTGTGCCGGTGGCTCTGCTCTGGGGATGAATGCTCCGTGGTGGGGCTGCTCGGTTGGACCGGGAGCTGAGCCAGCATCCTGGTGAGGGGCTGGATGGGCTGCATCCCCGGCACACTCGGTGCGATGCTGTGGGGATTAGTGGGTACACGCTATTTCTGAGCTGTGGCGGGGGTGTGCAGATCCTGCCCTGACTCGCAGCAGAGCCAAACCATCCCAGGACTGCTTTCCCCATGCAGTTACATGTGGAGGCGATGCAGTCACAGCAATTCCTAAGATTTTTTGGGGAGGCTGTTTCCTCTGGCCCCTTACACTTTACTGCAGGACTGAGAGGATATGCACAGGCATGTCCTTCTCATCTGGCCTCCGAGAGGTTTTGCCCATTAATTAGCTAATGCAGAGTGGTGTCTTGGGGACAGTGCTCGTGGGCTGCAGGATGACCGTGGTTATGTGCTTTGCAAGGATGGGGCGAGTCGGGCACCTCCAGACCCTGCACAAGGACCGTTCTCAAGCAGGGACAGGGAGTTCAGGTTTCACCCTGCCCTGGTGCTGTTGCATTAACAAGCCTGCAGCAAGGACATTGTGGCATGGGGCTTTGCTTTGCTTGTAAGCTCCTTTCGATGCTTTGGCTGGTGACCTCTTGCAAATATACTCCCTCTGAGCCAGCTGTTCTGCTGCCCCCCTAACATGCAGCATCTTTTTGTATGCCAGGCAGGAGACTGGCATTGTGAGATTGCCCTGTTCCTGTTTCTTCTCTACCTGACGTTTCCCTCTGCAACCATGCATTTGCTGCTGCTAGAAGGGGTTTGCAAGCCCGGACAGGGCTCTGGGAAAAGGACTTTGCTTGAAGATCAAGGAGAGGGAGCTTGAAGAAGACACCAATGCTGGTTTGCCCCAGAGTCTGGGGTTGCAGACTGCTGCTTTGCATTCCAGGGACAAATAGTGAGAAGCAGCAGGTAGCTTGACACATGCACACTCTCTTTTTAGTGCTAATAAATCACAGCTTCATAGGAAACTTGCTTTAAAGCTGGCGTCGAGGTATCTCAAAGATGCTGGGGTTGCTCAGTAGCTGGCAGCTTGGCTGGTCTCCGATTACTGTGAGGAAGCCGGCCTGAGCTTGCTATGCCTGTGTTGGTGTATTAGTCTTGATTCTGATTTACTTGTTCTTGGGGACAAGTCTCCTCTCTGGGGTCTTAATGTGCCTGCAGCACTGTGCAGAACCCTGGTCTCACTGTGGGGTTTGCCAGTATCTGTGTCCTGTCCCTGATCCATGGCTCTGAGTTGGCACAAACATGTTCCATGTCATTGCCTCCCAAGCTCTGTTGCATTCGGGCTGGATTGGATCAGGCCTGCTGTTCAAGGTCCTTGTGAACAGATGCACAAGTTGGAATCTTGTCCAAATCTAGTCCAGCATATTGAAAATACTATTAAACTTCAAACGCTGCAACAGTGTTTTTGCTGGTATGTGCATTCTGTCCTGTGTTTGTCAAGTTTTTGGGTTGGTTTGAGTGTCTGAGGCTGTTTTCCGTAAGTGGATGGTGCTTTGTGCAGTGCTGCTGCAGGTAGTGCTCTCCTCCCCAGGGCTGTTACGCCTGCCCTGTGCTGGGAATATTCTCTAAGCAAAGCCCAAAGGTTGTTGCTGTTACTTGTGCCTGCCCCTGTGGGCTGTCACATCCCTGGAAGTGCCCCTTGCCCTTGCAGGGTGCCCATACCCTCCCTGACATGGGCTCTCCAGGCAGGAGTGTGACTCTCTGCCAGCACACGGGTGCTGGAGGTGTGCTGGCTTTCAAGCATATGAGGCTTTCTTTAAAATAGGAGTCATTGTAGTGTTTGTGGCTTTGCTGTCAGGCAAGCTGCCTTGCCTGGCTTGTACTTGAGCACAGCTCTGATTTAAACAGTTGTGTTTCCCTAAGCGCTCTGTGTACACACATGCAGCATCTGACCTCGGATGTGCGCCACACACACCTAACCTGGTCATCTGGTGTTGGGATAAGCCAGAAACTTTCCTAAAGGAAAATAACCCCCTCTGCTACCTTGGGCTGTGTCTCCAGAGTTGGGCACTGCTGCTCAGAAGATGCTGTGGGACCCTCTGGGCCTGTTCAGGTGCCTGCTGTTGGATCTCTCTGCTGCCGATTTGCATTTTAAATCCTGCTGTGCAGCTGACCAAGGCACTGGCATGGGCAGGGGGACTGGAGGTTGGCCACCTCCTGCCCTGTAGCCTAATCTTCCACAGGCTCCTCTGGACATTGTGGTCATGGTAAAATTGCTCCATGGCCTCAGTGCCGGAGCCATCTGTCCTGTGTGCAGCTGTGGCAGTGAGGGCTCAGCCCCCCTCCTGCCTTCCTCCCCTTTAGTGCTTCTTGGCAAACACGAGTTATGGGGCTTGTTAAGCAGAGCAGGTTACATGTCAGTGGTGCTGTCTGCACCTGCACAGGTGGTTGTACTCGTACAGTGTGTTCGCACAAGTGATGCAAAGTGATTCCTTATTTTCTTACTGCCATGAGGTCCCATTCAAACCCAGCGCCAGCACTCATCTGAGGACCAGCTGTGTCTATCCCTGTGATTGTTGTCCCTGTTCCTGAGGAGATCCCAGCGGAGGGACCTGTTATTCGAACACCCTCATCTTTTATTCATGCTCATTTAGTCTAAATGTCAAGTTTTTTGAATCGGACAAATTCTCCTATCTCTGTAAAATGTCCTTTTGAAGTACACCAGTGTTTGGAAGTGAATGACAGCAGTTAGTATTCAGATGAAAGCATCCTTGACAAGTTTCTTTGCTGAATATATTTCTAACTGTTTAATTACCTGGGGAGTGTGCATTTTGAACCACAGAGATGATTTGCACCACATGTGCTGCAGTGTGAGGTGCTCCCCTGCATGGGGACCCATGGCTGAGCCCCCAGGTCCGCTGTCATCCCCTGCCTGCCTGGGAGATGTGCTCCCCCACAACATTAGAATTCTCTCTGACTGCTCCTCAAGCTGGATTCGCAGCAACAGCTTTGCCAGCAAGGGCAACCTTGGTGGGTTCTTTAAGTGAAGTCTCTTGTTCAGTGTAAAAATTCTCTCCAAGATTTATTTAGCCAAAAGGAATCATAGCAGCCAGCTTTGTCTTGCCACTGACCCATGTCAAATAGCTTCCCCAGCTGTCCCTGGGTTCCTGTCCCCCACGGCTGGAATTGCTGACATTCCCCAGCGCAGCTGTGGAGGATTCTGTAGCCCCTTTGCAACTGCTCATAGTGGTGAGGCAGGAGGCTTTCTAGGAAGACACAGATGGGAAAGGAGGGGGGGGAAGCCCCAGTGGTAGGATCATCCCTGCTCATGTTTCCCATAGCCTTGCTCCACACATGGTATTTCTATTCCAGCCCCTTTGGAGCCGCAGCAGGCTGGAGCGCCAGGCTGGGGCTGCCCGGGAAAGGACACTGCCATCCACTTCAAAAAAGTGGTTTCTGAAGCTTTATTAGGGGAGTGGAGTATTTCCACAGCTGAATTGCTCATCCCAGGTCAGGACTGGTATCTCGCTGTAGGAGCCACTGGCCCTGGCCAGGTCATCCCAAGCAATAGAGATGCTCCCTGGTCCTGTGGATATATTATTTCATTGTCTTGCTTGTAAGAAAAACCCGACTAATGCACTAAAGCAGTGGCTTTGACTCATTCTATGATAGCAATCATTTTTTCCACATGCTCAGAGATGCTGTTTGTGTCTTTGTGTGTCATTTCCCCAGGCCCCAAGTCTGAGGTGCACTCTTGTCCCTTGCTGAGGTGGTTGGCAGATTCAGGCATGCTCTTGTCTCAGTGTGGTGGGCTGAGTGCTTTGCATTGCTGCCTGTCTTCCTGATGCATTATTAGCATGATATTTAATTTTCTGCACCAGTCGATTTCTTCCTTTCTTCCTTTTTTTCCCCCACAGGTCCACTTTGATCAATTTAAAGAAGCACTTATCCTCATCTTATCCAGAACCCTGTCAAATGAAGAGCACTTCCAAGAACCAGGTAAATACTAAATTATCTAAATCAGTCTGTTTTTCTTTGGCAAAGCAGACATGGGTGGCTGTTACAGAGGGGCTTAGAAGAGAAAGTGATTTCTAGGTGCTAAGGTAGGCTCTTCTGCTTGGATGCCCAGACCTGGGGAGAATGGAGCTAAGGTCTGTTGTGGAGCCTTCTACAAAAGCATTTTCTGAGCTATTAGATATTTATATCCCATTAGCATTATCTGAATGCCTGGAGAGGCACATGATGTCTGGGCACAGACCCCTAACGGCACTTCAGATGCTTAAGACATCTCAAGGCTGCTAAATGTGCTGAGGTCTCTCTATCCCATAACGCTGCCAGTGGCCAAGGATGCTTTGGGTGCTCTCCAGCTGCAGCAGATAGTTAGGGGCAGGCAACCAAATGGCCACTTTATTGCTGTGGGTGCTTTTTTTGCAGCCAGGGCTGGCACACCCCCTTGCCCTCCACTCGAGTGCTTCAGCTCTGCGGTGATGTGATGTGGCACAGAAGCCCCAGCTCAGCAGAAGGCCTGAGCCAGCGGTAGCTGCTGTGCTCCTGCCATGCCTCTGAGGGGCTGCTTGGTGGGATCTGTCTTGAGGGACAGCAGTGTCTTGCTGGAAACCTGTGCTGGTTTTGGGTGCTGCTCTTTGTTGTGAAGGTTGTAAGGGGAAGCTCTCGACAAGATTTCCTTCTAGAAATGGGCTGCTCGATGCAGAAATACTCCCCCTGTCTAGCACTGATTTGCATTATTTTTCTTTAAAGTCCATACTGTTTTCTTGTGTCTGAGATGAGCAGGGTGAGCTCAGACCTGTCGCAAGTTAACTCTGAGGTGACTGTTTCTCCCAGGGTTCTGAACAAGACAAGCCCTCTGACAAACCAAGTTGGGGCTAGTTGGAGAAACACTGGCTGCTTCTCTTCCTCGCTGTCCTGCTTTTTATCTTGCTTTGTTTCAATGTGCCTTGAAAATGTAGCCTTTTTAGACCAGGAAAGGGGGTCACAGGTTTGGTGTGCCACCCTGTTTGTGCATGTGGGCTGGCAGAGCTGGAAGCACTGGGGAGCTGTGGAGGACTGAGCCCCTGTGGCTCCATCTGGAGCTGGGGGTCTTCAGTCTGCCTGCTGTCACACCTGTATGTAAATCCCTAATCCTGCCTTTGGAGCAGCAGGGCTGTGAAATCCCCAAAGGAAAAGACAGCTTAGCAAGGACGGAGAGGGGAAACTCCAGGTTTTCTCTCCTGGAGCATCAGTCTCAGCTGGAGCATCCTCCACTAGAGAGCTCAGCCTCTCAGCAAAATTACAGCTCTTCCCATTAAATAGGCTGCAAAAACTGCAGGGCCCAAGAGATGCGATTGATGGATTACTTTTATTTTCCACCCCTCATTTCCAAAGCTCTTAATGCTTAGAGGGATGTGGGCGATGACAGCACTTGCACCCAGCATCCCTTAATGCAATTTCCCAGCACAGGTCAGTAGATGCTCAGGAGCAAGGGGGGAGCCTCACCGGTGCCTGGCAAGAGGTGAGGTCTGCTGTGATCCCTTCCAGCCCCTCAGAGAGGAGCTGGCAGAGCAGGAGGCAGCCCCAGCACCCCAGTGAACCAGAACTAATCCAGCGCTCTGCATTTATTGGGGAATCATGTGGCTGAGAAGCTCCGGCTTGATTTAAATATAAATAAATCTTCTAGAAAGGGCTAAATTTGGGGTTATTGCAGGGGAAGCTACAATTGCAGCCGGCAAGAGGCTGCATTGGAGCTGGAGAGCCCTCCTTGGGGACACGTTTATCAGCTGGGTCTTGCATGGCAGGTAATCAAAGGGCATGCAGTGCAGGTAGGGAGCCTGCACCAGGCAGGCCTGGGAGGCATTCATTTTTAATGCGTTTTGACAGGTCGGTTAACGCCAAAGTCTTTGCTGCTTTTAATTTAGATCAAACTTGAGATTTGGAGAACAAGCTGCTTTGTGCTGTTGGTGTCAAACTGTCAAGAGACTGTGGAAACGCTGGTGTTCCAGCCCGCCCCAGGCTGGGCAAAAATTGAGTTAAGACCTTCAAATCATATCATTTAAATGAAAATTTAATTTGGGGGGGAGGGGGGGAAGGCACACAGATCTTAAAGCTGTTTGCTGCATCTGCAGTTTGCTCTGCAGGGAAGTGGCTCTGTACCTTGATGAGGTTTTACCCAGGGACTTGGGTGATCGAAAGGCCCCCTGGGGACAGGTGGAGGGCTTCTGTCTTTGATCTCCAAACCAGTGGCTTCCAAACAGCCTGTGGACATGGGCAAGGGGACCCAGCAGGGGAAAGCATCCTTGTCCCGGTGGGTGCAGTGCAAGCTTGCTCAGGGAGGATGGCTTGGCACAAGGAACTTCTGGATGATGGGGCAGCCCCCAGGGTCGTGGTGGGTTCCACAGGCTGGGGACACGGAACCAAAACTGCCATGGGATGCAAAAGCAGATCCTGCAGAAGTGACTGATGGGGCTTTCCTTGTTTGGTGGGGGGGAGAAGCAGTCAGGCTTGCAGATGGCAGCTGATGTATTTGTTTTGGGGTGGTTTTCTTCTTTACAGAGAAGCTAAACTCCCTTTCTGAAGGGACGGCTGCCAGGAGGCTGGTCCTGATGTGCTGCAGGCACAGGGAAGCAGCCCTGAAAACCAAGGCAGGCAGAGTTCCCAGCGCTGCTGTCATCAGTTCCATCCCTTTGAGGATGTGGGGTCAGACCCAGCTGCATGGGTGTGAGGTGTAGGAACAGATCCAGCTGCAAACCTGGGCATCAGCCAGCCAGGCAAACCCCAGCTCTGCTGGGAAGTGGAATGGCTGGGCAGAGAGATGGGAGAAACACTGGGAAAAGCAGAAAAAGGCCTGAATGCTCTAAAAATAGTGTTTGTTTTAGTGTTTGTTTTAGTGACTTCCAGGGAGACCCATCACCCCCAGCAGCACCTTGTGCAGAGGTAGCCTGGATTGCTGGGGTTAGATGTTCTGGAGAGATGCTGCTTCAGGGCTGGGGCTGAGCCTGCTCCTGCTGCGAGCCCTGGGCTGAGGGCGGCTGCTGCCAATGCTCTTTGTCCGTGGGCCACTGTAGCAGTGAGGAGGGCCTGGGGACAATAAAATAGATTTAAGGGTTTGGAAAGAAAAAAAAAATATCAGTTTTGTGGGTGATGGGGAGGGAAATCAGGCAAATAAAGTCAGCTCTGTGTGCTGTGGAAGCCTGGATAGGAAGGGTTTACCAGGGTGGAGCGCAGGATTACAGGAACACCAAGGACAAATTAAAGAGCAGCTTGATGCCATCCTTGCTGCGGTCGTGAGGGGCTGTTGGGTTGTTGTCTTCCCAGCATATGGAGACAACAGAACTGCCCTCCAGAAGTGTATCTGGTGGGGATGATGCTCTTGCAGAAATCCCATCCACGGGCAAAAGGTTGCTCCCGTGGCTGCAGAGGTCTGGCTCCTGCTCCACAAGCAGACCAGGGTGCGGACAGGTATAAAACCAGTGTCACTGTCCAGACAGGGTGACCTAGGCACCTAGGCATTGCCTCTGGGCCAAAATTCATTGCTCCGGTGCTGTGGTGCCCAGCCATTGCTCCTGTCCACCTCAGTTGCTGAGCCCAGGGTGTGAAACAGAGTGTAAAAGGAGTTCAGACAGTACCTGGTGTCTTGGAGGATTAGGATTTAGCAGATCCCAGCTGTGATGAGCTTTGCCCACTGGAAGGCTGGCTGCTGCTGTGAGGAGGATCCCTCCCTTCCAGATCTTAAGCAGTAAAGAAGTTCATCTCTAAACGGGCTTGCAGGACGAGGGTCTTCCTCCGTAAACCTCCTTTTGTCTGCATTTGGTGGCTTTGATGCTGGGCCCAGGAAAATGCTATTTGGCATCAAGTAGAGCCCCCCCCTCTCCTCCCCAGGCATCTGAGGGGAGAGTAGGATTTTGAAAATACTCATCTAGCAGAGAAAGGCGAGTGTAAATCTCCAAGCGTGGAGGCATTTCACTGTCGAGGTGGGTGGGGGGAGCAAGCCAGGGAATTGATGGCTTTTGTCTGCAGCGCTTAATTCAGGGGAGTTCTTGTGAAATGCTTTGGGTTTGTGTTGTTTTTCAGGAGCGGGCAGGGGGTCAGGGAGGTGAGAGGCTTGCTCTCTTGGCAGCTTCTGCTCTTACCCCTGCCCGGGGGCAGTTCAGGGGGGCAGATCAGACCCCAGTGTCTAATTAGCTCTGGAGTGTGTTTTGCTAAGCCCATGCATTGCCGAGGGCTGTAGGAAGGAGGGAGCATTCCTCCTATTTTATTCTCTTTTTTTCCCCTTTCTTGGTGCCTTGTCAGCCACACGATAGAGAGGGTCTTGGAGGAGCAGCATCTCTCCTTGCTGCTGGTTGCAGACAGGGGTACCAGAGGTCAGGCTTGAGGAAGAGCAGCCTCCCCTTGAAGCTCGATACCAAGATATATTTGACAGTGTTCGGGATAAATAGCACACGGGGCTGTCTCATGGGCATTTGCCTCACTGAAAGCTTTGATTTTATTTTATTTTTTTTGGCATCTCCCTTCTGTTTGTGTGCCTTTGAAAGAACATGTGGATTGAGCAGCTCTTTCCTTTCTCTTTTGACTGGAAATGAGAAACTCAGTTCAGCTCATCGATGAACTTTGCATTCAGGGATATGGGTTGCTGCTATTTGCTGGCATGTGTGCTCAGCTTTCTCTAAATCCTGGGAATGCCAAGAGTACCAAGAGCATCAGCTGCTTTGCTGGGGGGTTGGGTTAGAAAAGCGGGAAGGTGAAGGGACTTATAGGATCCTGCATGCATGGGAGGTATCCATGCTCAGCTGGTCCAGAGATGATGGTGCACGGAGTTTTCTGCAAAAGAGATGGGTCTGTGCTCCCAGGGATGGGGCTGCAGGCTGCTGTCTGTTACACCAATCTGATGCCATGGCCCTGTAATGCTATTGCTTTGGTCTGCACTGGGTACCCACCAGCCAACAGCACAAAGGTGCATGGGGGCTAGCAGAGAAAGAGCTGTAACGCAGTATTAACAGAAGCACTCTGGCTCTGGAAATGGGGTTTCAGGATGTCTGAGCTGGGATTCTGTCTGTACCTGGGCTGAGGCACAGCCTGTTTTGAAGTTGGCTTTGCAAGGCAGGAGTGAAGTTTCTGCTCTTTTCAAGCTGTGAAGGGTCACCTTTCTCTCCTGGGGATGTTCTCAGGCTTCACAGCTTTTTAATTGCACAGGAAAAACAAGCACACCCAGGTGCTGAGACCAAAGAAGAGGGACAGAAGTCAGTTGCCAGCCTCCAAATGCTTAAAATGGAAAAGGGGGGAGATGTTCCCATTTCTGCTTGCTGATAAAGCACTTGTAGGGTGGCATGGTTTGAAGGCACCTGTATTTCCACATAAAGCTGGATTTTCAGCTTCAGCAGTGGCTAAACCACACTGTCAGGGTGGGAAGCATTGGAAAGGGAACCCTTCTGAGCATTGGGGAACCCAAAAGGAAATTTAACCATAGCTTCATTATTGCTCAGTTACAGTTTCTTTTCCCCCCACATCTTTCCAAAGACAGATGGGTGAGGAGGTGTGTTTGTCCTAGAGGAGGAAAAGCTATTTCTCAAAAACCCAAAGCCCCCCCCCCGCCCCAGCCCTCTTCTGCAAGGGCAGGGAGATGGCAGCAGGGAGGAAATAAAAGAGTGAATGAGTAGCCACAAACATTAGCATTTCAGAGAGAGCTGCTCGATGGAGATTGTTCACCACCAGGCAAGCTTTAATAGGAGTGATAAGGTTTGCTTTTGTTCTCGGGCTCTTACTTAATCAGCCTGCCTCATTGCGATTTTTCTATCGGCACACTTCATCACACAACTTTCATGTACGAGTCCCAGCTGCAGCAAATCTTGTTAAAATGGCCTTGTTCAAACACAGGCCGCCGGGTTTGTTCCCTAGAGCTGCAATATGGATGGATGGAGTGCAAGGCTGGAGGAATCAAAGGACTCCTAGGCCTGTGTATTTTATAATTCATTGCATAGCTAAGTTGCAGAATATTTTTCCTCTAACAAGCTTGAAGCTTTCTTCCATATCTAAAGGAATATTATCCAAGGAGGCATTTGGGCGGGGGGGGGGTTCAGAGATTCTCTGCTTTCTGTGTACCATTTGTCAGTGATTGAACAGCTTCCCTGTGCCTTACAAGTATTGCACTGTGCATTTGTTTTGTACCAGAGTGCTCTGCAAATAAAATTTCAAAAGGCTGCTGCTCTTGCCACTGCCTCAGTGTGCTGCAAGTGGCAGAAAATAAAGATGATCAAGTCCTGGGGGGGTTTTGATGGCAGGGTTAGCAAACACCGAAGCGGAGCGCGGCAGAGAGCCTTTCCCTAATTGAATCCCTGGTTAATTTGGTCCTCGCTTTAATTTGCCCCCTGCTCCAGACATTGAATGATTCTCACTGAAAATAGCCCAAAACATGCTGATTTATTTTTTGGTTTGATCCTTATCAGTGAGTGCTCCTGGATAATTCAGTCCCCAAAGGCAAAAGCTTGATTTGGGAAGCTGGAGCCAGGGAATGTGAGCGGAGCCCCCTGTAATTAGATGACGACTCCAATGGGTTATTTAGATCTTGCAGTTGGCATTAGTTGCACAGCACAAGCTGGGACCTGCCCCGCTGTCGCCTGAATTAGCCGCTTGTGTTGGCCCTCAGGAGGCGTTTGCCTCCAACCTTGCCCAATTTTTCTTCCACTTGCCACACATTTAATCGAGCTGTGATTTAAATCCACCAAAAGCAGCGGCAGTCACCCAGGTGTCTGCATAATCCGGAGACTTGAGCTGCCTAAGTGCAATGCTGTCCCTAATTAAATCTGCCCATTGCCGGTAATGAAGATCAGTGCAAGGAGGAGAGACCTAATGGACTTTCCATCCAAAGCTGTTTGCAAGGTTGGGTTTTTGGGTTTCTTTTGCCCCATCCTGTGAACAGAGCAAACGTGATCTGGGAATTGGGAAAGGATGAGGAAGATGGAGCCCTGATTTCACTTGATGACAGCCTTTTCATTGAGCAGGACTCATTCCAAGCCATCAGGCCAGATGGTATTGAGGGTAGTGGTCCTGGGAAAGGAGCAGCCACTGTTGCCTGCCCAGGGGCAATGGTAGTGGAAATTTGGAGCTCAAAGTGCTGCAACCAAGCCAGTGCTGTGTGGTGTGACCTGGAAGCAAAAACCATGTTACTGATAATGTTTTGTTCCTGAATGTCACAGATTCATCCCCAGAAGCGCAGCCTAAGTACATCAAAGGCGGCAAGCGCTATGGCCGGCGGTCCCTGCCGGAGTTCCAGGAGTCCGTGGAAGACTTTGCTGAGGTGACTGTCATTGAACCGCTGAGCGAGGAAGCATGTCCCCCACACATCGCCTCCAGCAGCTGTGAGGAGGTGAGCGTAAAGGGTCCTGGGTGCTGTGGGAGCTCGCCATCCCCAGACATAGCTGCCCCCCACGCCATCCTGAGGTGGTTTGGGTGTCCTTGGGGCCTTCCTAGCAAGGGTGATGGTCTCCCTCTTTGCCGGTCCCCGGGGATCAGCCGTGCCCGGCAGCACCTCCCTTGCTGCAGCCCCAGAGTCCCACCTGCAGGCAGGCTGCTGTGGGGAGCTGGGGAGGATCTGGGCACTCGGTGATGTGCATTGGTGCCACTGATCTTCCTCCACTCCTGGCTGCAGTGTGGACCAGCGGTCAAGTGAGGGCTGAGATCCTGCTTCTGTGGCTAATGAAGTATGGGCTGGGAGCTAAGTGAGCAGAAGGAGCACATCCTCATCTATTATCTCATCTGCAAAAACCTGGCCATGGCTCTGGTGCTCTCGGGTAGAGAGGATTGGGAAGAGGGGTGGTGAGCAAGAGAGCTCTGCAGCAGGCGGCTGCCTTGGGATGGTGCCCTAAATGCAGAGCCACCAGCTGCTTCTTTCAGTCTTCTACTTTTGATTTTCCCAGCAAGAATCTTTTGCACCAAAGCTGCATGGCTCTCACCAGCCCCCATGCTTGCTCCAAAATCCAGATTTTTCTCAGGTTTCGTGATCAAAATTTGTGTCTCTTTGTGCCAGTGCTTTCAAGCCCAGAATCTTTTCTCGCTTGTTCAGAACAGAAGAGCGGAAAGTGAAGAGTGGTTGGGCTTGATGGGTGTGCATTAGCATACAGCCACAGCAGCACTTCTCTGACACTGGGCTCATTCCAGCCTGTCCCAGTTTGCCAAGTATTGTTGATTTAGTGCTGCATGTTCAGGAGCGCACAGTGGGAGTTTTCCACTGGGAAGGAGGAAACTGTGATGCTTTCTTTGCTCATCTGTCTCCTGGCTTCACTTGTGCTTTCCTAAAGATGTGGGGGCTCTGCAGCCACTGCACCCAACGCTGCATGGGGAAGTAACAGAGAAATTTCCAGGTTTCCAGTGTTATTCCTATGCAGTTGAGCTTAAAAACTTTTTATATATATATATATATTTATTTTAATTTTTATTTTTTTAGAAAAAAGGCTTTTCCACCAGAACCAGCTTCCTTACCCTATTCTCAGTGATGTTTGCTCACCACCACAGGGATGCTCCTCATCTGTCTCCTGGTGCTGGCCCCATGGGTTGCCCTGACCTTGAAATCAATGTTAATCTCCCCACAACCCCCAGGGAAGCTATGTTCTTGATGGAAGAGGTCCCTCTAATTTTACTCCTCTGTTTTAACTGTCAAGGAGGTGTAAAAGGCTAGTTTATTAACAAGGTCATTCAATTAACTCAACCAGTACATAACCACACTGTGCTTCCTGGTGGGAACACTTGGCTGCACCTTCTGGGGTGGATGGGATGGTTAACTCTCTTGAAACTTAAGCAAACCACAAGCTAATTTTGTTTAAATCCCCACTTGTCAACTTTATCAGCATTACTGTCTTATCTCTGAAAGTTGATTCTCTTGGTATGCACAGAAACCAGTTGTTTGAAGGCATAGGGGGTCCTGGGGCTGAAATGCTGGGCAGTGTTGGAGACTCCTGATGCGTTGGCTTCTTGGTACCACAACTAACAGCTTTTGCCCAGTTTTCTCCTGTTGCACCATAAACATGTTGTCGCCTGCACTCTGCAAGGCTGCCTCTAGCCCAGGGTGTTTTGCTGGCCTGAGAACTGGGGCAGTGTGGCTTAATTGGTGCTTTCTTTCAACCAGTGCCAATTAAAAGGGCTCAGACTCTGTCTGAGAGGCTTCCTTCCCCTACTCATCTCTGTAAACAGGAGAGGAGAGGCTGGAGGGCTGGTCTGTGTGTGTGCGGGATCGGCTGCCTGGAGATGCTCTGTGACCTCCATCCCTGGTGGCTTTCTAGGGACTGGACAAAGCCATGAGCACCTGGGTGTGAATTCAGCATTGACCTGGCCATGGGCAGAGGGTGGTGTAGGGATGCCAAGCTTCCCTTTGATCCACATGAGTTTGTCCCCATGGATACTACTAGGAATATGGGTGGTGAGGAACAAGTGGCTTTGGCACTGTTATGAATGTGGTGCTAATGGAGCTGCCGCAATGAAAGCCCCTAGAAATGCAGTGTGAAAGCTTGTGGTGGTTAAAGCTGTGCATCTCCATCCCTGACTACCACTTGAGCTTGTTTGTTCCAACTTCTTGATACAAATGATGGATTTTGGTGGGCTTGGGAAGCACTGTGACTGCTTTCCTTTCTGCCTTGTGTTAGACCTGGTGATGATCTGCTCAGCGGTGGTGATGCAGGGTTGGGATGGGGAGCAGGTTTGGTGGCCATGGGGTACCAACCCCAAGCTGGTGGTGGAGCAGCAGCACCCTTTGGCTTGTAGGTTCGCAGCAGCACACCCCTGTGTACACAGCCAGACATGGCCAGTCTTAAGGCCATGCTCACTTCCAAACCTCAGTGCAGGGCTTCTATCATCTCTGCTTCCCCAGCTGCTGCCTCTGCTCTAGGAAAGGTCAGTCCTACTTGCAGGCTGTAGAAACTGCTGTCATGTCCCAGCTCTGTCCCTTCACTGCTCACCAAAGCCGGTCACTCCCCAGACATCTGTGCTTGCTTCTGCATAGAGCGGTTTCCAGCATGGCATGGCCTTTCTGAGCAAAACCTTCTGGGAGGGTCAGGCTTGAAGATTTTTGTCTTCAGGTCCTACATGCACAAATGTGTGGCCCGCAAAGGGCAACTGTTCTGTAAGGCCGGGATCTGCAGAGAACAGCTCAGGATAGTGCTTACCCCACACAAATGCATTATTGATGTGACTCTGGTGCTTTGCAGCTGAAGGCAACTGGCAAAATGGAGTGTGGAGATTTGCTGGCAAAAGGGGTCTGTGCTCTGGCTGCTCAGACCAGGGCACTGACCTCCGTGTAAGCATGCAGGGAGGGGAAAAACGGGGTCCATCATCATTGATGCGCAGGCTCACCTTGCCGTGTGCAAAGCAGAACAGGCTCAGCGTGTGCTCCTGATCGTTGTTTTAATTAGCAATATATTCTGGCAGAGAACAAAGGCCTGTCTTGCTGAAGCAGATGGCAGGGGGAGAGAGGTTGCTGCCTTATTATGGGGAGAGGCCACCGCAAGCAAACAGCACAGGCTGCAGATGCTAGCCTGGGCTCCAAGCTGGAGGGTGGCGAGCATTGAAAGCCACAGCCATCTGCTCCTCAGCCCGGCCAAGCACGTGCCTGCCCAGATAATAATGCATTCCTGGGATCTGCACTTCGCCTGGATGTGTGTGACCTGCATCCAGCTGTAGCACTGCCGGGGCCAGGGAAACAATGCTGTGCCTGACATTGGGATGCACTGTCCCTCTGCACCCATCCCAGATCTGCTTTGTCCTCCCGCTGGCGGTGGCTGACCCTGAGCCCCCACTGCATAAAGGGACCCCCTTGCCCTCCATAGTGAGGCCCTGGCATGGGGAGAGAGGTCACATGAGCTCCTCAGGGTCAGTGTCAGGGGGTTACCAGCCTGCAGCACACACACACATGCACAGCCCTCCTGTATTCAGCCTCTTCAGGTTGTTGGTGTTCATAGAGTTACCTTGTGCTGCGGTTTGGGGTTCTTGGTTTTGTAAGTCCCCAGCTTGAGAGAGTCTGGTGCTAAACGGTTTAGATCTGATTTTGTATAAAAATACATGTTGCTTATGCAAAAATACTTGGACATAGCAGTGGATCCCACTTCTGAGCATCACTGCTCAGATTCCCCCTCGGTGTCCCCCTCAAAGACAAGGATGAGTGGCTGTGGGGTGGCAGCTCTGTCTGGCACCCAAAGATTCCGTCTCTCAGTACAAAGTTGGCTGTTGCACATGCACAGGCACCTATGGGTTGGGCTGGGTTGGTGTCAACTCATACATTTTTGGGAACACAGGCTCTTTTCTATCTTTGCACATGGTACTTCAATGGTACCTGTTGCCTCAGCTCCTGCTTTTTGTGTGTTCACCCTGATGGTTTATCAGGCAAACCAAGAATCTGCCACATGAACACTTCCATGGTGGTGCTGGCAAGACAGCACTTGTTTGGGCCAAAATCTGTAGATTTCTAGTGCAGTATTATAGGTGCTCTTGGCTTTCTCCAGAGCATCCAGCAAAGCTGCTGTGACTGCCTGCCTTGGAAAGCAAAGGTGAGGCCGCCTAGCTCCATCTAAGGGTCTCCCTGATTCCTGCCCTGTGACCCTCCCCAAAGGCAGAGGGGTACATTGAGATGCTGCAGCAGCAAACAGCCCTTGCCTGGTCCAGGAGATGTCACAGGAGCAAGCAGCAGAGCTAAAAAAAGGTCTAGTGAACTAATCCAGTTTCCATGGTAACATTGTAGATTAATGGCTTTTAGCTGTAATCTGAATGAGATGCATTGAACTTTTATATGATGATTTAGAGCCTCTTTATGTCCTGGGTGACTTTGACTTCAAATCCATCAGTCACATGCATGCAGAAGTATCCACTTGTAACAGTGGAGAAGTGACATCTGCCGCTGGCACAGCTATATCAGAAGTTAATATCACTGAGCATTGTGTGTGATTAAATACCCTTGGCTGGGACAAGGGTGGTAGAGACATAACAACGTGTAGTACATGAGGAAATCACTTTAAACAATGTACTTGTGCCCTGCTCCCAGTGTCCCTGAGCTGATGTGGTATTGCTACAGAGGAAGCAGGATGGCTTAAGACCAGCAGATAGCATGTTGGGGTTTTGTTCTGCCGCTAGCTCAGTGGAGAGCTTGTTGGCAGTGTTGTTCTGTCTCCTGACCTAGAGCTACAGCTCGTGGAGGTGGTTTGGAGTGGGCTTGGCTGAGCATGTGCCAAAGTAGGGGAGGATAGGGTGCTCGAAGGGACAGCCCAAACTCAAGTAGTGGCTATATGCAGTCCATGATCGTAGAACTACAGACTGGTTTGGGTTGGAAGGCACCTTAAAGCTCCTCCAGTTCCAACCCCCTGCCATGGGCAGAGACACCTTCCACTAGACCAGGCTGCTCCAAGCCCTGTCCAACCGGGCCTTGAACACTGCCAGGGATGGGGCAGCCACAGCTTCCCTTGGCAACCTGTGCCAGTGCCTCACCAACCTCACAGTGAAAAACTTCTTCCTAATATCTAATCTAAATCTCCTGTTTATCAGCTTAAAGCTGTTCCCTCTTTATCCTATCCCTACATGCTCTTGCTCCAGCTTTCTTGTCAGCTGCCTTTAGGTACTGGAAGGCTGCTCTAAGGTCTCCGTGGAGCCTCCTCTTCTCCATGCTGAACAACCACAGCTCTCTCTTCCTGAATTTTTATCTTGACCACTGATACCTCTAAAGACAAAGCAGCATGGTTTCCTTGGAGGGCAAATCTCTTCTTCCCTCCCCATCAACCTGCTGGACTCTGATCTGTTACCTCTCAAAGGTCATTTGCAGGGCTTTAGGCATCTTTCTGCAGCTGTGGTTTATCCCCACGAAAGAGCCTTGCATGCCAGAAAAAAAGAGCATCAAAGAGCCATGGATTGCCAGCCCAGCCTGAGGGGAGTGGGGAGATGAAAGCCTGGCGGTGTTGCTGGAGCCCTGTAGCTCATGCTGACTGCAGAGTCTCTTTCATGTGGGCGATGTCTTGCAATAATAATAACTTGGGAATCTTTTGTTTTCTCCCCAGCACTGGAAGACGCGAGACAGCGAGGAGTATGAGGCTGAGGGTAAGAGCAAGCAGCAGTACTTGTATGTGCTTACTCTCTTTTCAGCTTTGAAGATGAATCGGAGGGGCACACTAAATCTCAGGCCATCTGGGTGTGCTGAGCAGTCCCAGCTTGGTGTGGTGCAGAGTTTGACAAGGTGCATATGGGGCAGGCAAGCCCCTAGCTGGGAATTAAAGGAAAAGCGGGGCTTCTTGGAGGTCAAAGTCTTGTGCCTTAGCCCTTCTGCCCTCTTTTCTTCCTGCTGCCTGATGCAGAGGCTGTCCTGCTACAGGTGCTTCTGGTCTCCCTGGCCTCAGCACCCCAAGAGCAGGTCCCGGTCCCTGCTCCTGCCTGGGGGGCTCCTGTAGGAGAGGACAGTAGGCACTAGATGTCATCGTGGACCAGTCATTAAATATTTCCTAATTTTCCTACAAGGGAGAGCAGGGTGACCCCTGGTGTGATGGTCGGGGTGACAGTTGGGCTTTGGCACCAGCCCCCAGCACAACGTGCAGCTTGCAATGGTATGTTTATAACTAAGCCATGCAGCTTTTAATCACTTCAACATCTCTTCTATATTTCAGCTGCCCTCTAACACCTACTCCATCCAAAGGGACCAATTTTTGTTTTCTTTTTTTTTTTCCTCAGAAAGTTACTTTTTTAGCCCCAGGATGGTAGCGGATGCAGGGAGGTGTCAAGCTCTGACTGGTTTGTGTCTAGTGGCATTTGCAGCTGGATGAGGCTGTACTCCAGGCATTTGCTGGAGGTAGAGGAAGTGTGTGCACCTGAAGGCTATTGGGTTTTGAATTATTTGTTTTATTATTTTTCTTCCCCTGAAGAAGTGCTTGAAAGTATTTTTAGATCAAAACATACACTAGAGCTTACGTTCGAAGGGGATGGGAGTTTAGGAAGCACCGCTTGTGGGTTGGCGTTTATGGAGACAAGCAACCATTGAAGTTCTTGACCTGGTCATGGTTCGGTATGGGGATGCAACTTGCTCAATCCTCTCCTTGACCTTATAACTGCCCAGAAGAGGAGGGGCTGGGTCCCTTCTCCATCCATGCCAGTAGCCAAGGCAGCAGGGGTGTGCTTCTCCTGGCTGCCAGCCCAGGTTGGCACAATGCACTTTTCCACAATCTTTCTGGCCATGGTCCCGTCCTCACTGGTATGTGGGGTTCCCTCAGCTGTGGTGGCACATGTGAGTTGAGTGCTGAGCAGGATCTGCTTCTTATTGTAGAGTCCAATAGCCATACCCTGAAATAATGAGTGTGCTCTGAGAGGGATGGGGTAAGGCAAATGGTCCTGTGGGGTCTGACAAACAGTGAGGGATGCTGTGCCTGCTGCAGCAGCAAGTCCCCCAAGCCTTCACCTGTGTGCAGTGGGTGGGCGGAAACCAGAGCAGCTCTCCCCTGTTTCCAGGGCAGCTCCGGTTCTGGAACCCTGATGACCTGAATGCCTCCCCTGGTGCCTCACTGCCCAGCCCAGACTGGATAGAGGAGAAACTGCAGGAGGTCTGCGAGCACCTTGGCATCACCAGGGATGGCCACCTGAACCGCAAAAAGCTTGTCTCCATCTGTGAGCAGTATGGGCTCCAAGCAGCAGCTGGGGAGGTGAGTGGCCAGGTGCAGACCTGCTTGCTCCAGGGTGTACATCTGGGTTTTGGCATGGCCCCCACAAAGTCTGTCCTGTGGGTGACTGCAAGCCTAAAGCACAAGTGCTGGTTCATACGTCACCACTTGGAAAGTAGTTTTCAGCCCAGCTTATGGTTTTCCAGTGAGGCTGTTGGTGTCAAACCACCAGAAATGGGAAACTGCTCTGGTAGAAGGCAGCTGCCAGCCGTACTATGCAGTGTGCGTGTCTTCTCATGCATTCGCAGAGTAAACTGGATTTTAAAACATATTCTGGATTCCAAAACATATTCTGGATTCCAAACGTGTCTCCTTAATCCCCAAAATCTTTGAGCTAGACAGTAAATATTAGTTAAAATATTCATAGCTGGTTGCTTTTGAATTTGTTGAGGGCCTGCAGGCTGTTTCTGTCCTGCAGGAAAAATTCATGAGAAAATTATTTCTTTAGCAAAGAAGTTTGTTGCCAATTTATGGTGAGTTTTCTTAAAAAAAAATTAAAAAATTGTATTTTAAAATACAAATTGTAATAATTTCCTTCATGAAACATGAATACATGAGCAAGTATTCCTTTGCAGCATTCATAGTAAAATGTTTTCAGGGTATTAAGGCACAAAATGGAAAGAATAAATTGTAAGTGAAGAAACAGCAAAGGACTAATCTTAACATCTCTGGTCCTAATAAGGTTGGTCTTGCTTTGCAGAAAGCAGACTGCCCCGAAGCATAAAACAGATTTATAAGACCTTGCAGTGTTTTACTGTGTGTTTTGCCCAGTCACTTCAAGCTGCTGGGGGTTTGGTCTGTCTCACCACCTTGCACTTGAATCCTGAGGTCACTCTGTCTCAAGAGCAGAACGAAGTGAGGTGTCTTCATGCTGCCTCACAAGATACGGAGGCTTCAAGAGGACCAGGAGCTTACATCATTATACAGGCAGGATTTTCATAGTGTGTGTGTGTGGATGTACAATTTTCTATACGAAGGTTGCTGTACCAGTGTTAGGCTGATGCAGTGTAGCAGGCAACTCTTGCTTTGCGTTTTTCCTTGGCAGAGCCTTGGGAATAGGGTGCTTTCTGCTCTGTCAAATTGTTACCATTGTGGTTTTGGCAATAGCAAATGTGATTTCTATCCCTTGCCACTTGCAGGTGCTTGAAGAGGTACTCCATAACCTGGAGCAAGATGGCACCATGAGCATAGAGGACTTCTTCTATGGCTTGTTTAAAAGTGGAAAGCCGCTGATGCCCTCAGCATCTACACCATACAGACAACTGAAACGACACCTTTCCATGCAGGTGGGAAACTGAGGTGGATCCTGGGGTAGAGGCAAGAGCGGGGGGGAAGTCCTGAGGAAATAGCTCCTAGCTTGCCTCCTGCTTTTCTTGCCCATTTGTCTCTGTGGTGGGGCAGCTGTGACTATCCCCCAAATGGGTAGGCTGAAGACTGTGGGTATGCAGGTCCCACATATATTCTCTAACTATTTTGGGGCGAGGGGGGAAGAGTTTGGAATCTTCTGCCCATCTTTGCTTTGAAGCTGAGGCCTACAGCAAAAGCACCTGTGCATATGCTTCCTGCAGCCTTCTTAGGGGAGGTGATGCTTGAAACCAAAACCAGAGAGTGCAAAACACTTTTGAAGCATTGAGGACACTCCAAAGTGCCTGGTTGTGCTGTGGTGCTGGGATGTCAGCAGCAGCATTCCTGCTGGGTATTTGGCTTGGCAATGAGGAAGGGCAGACTTAATCCTTAATCTCCAGAATACTGTTAGTGAAATTACATTTAGAAGCCTTTCTTGTCACGGGGTGGGCAGATGCCTGGCTCTGCCTGTGCCCCATCACATCCTCTCCCCTTTCTCCACAGTCCTTTGATGAAAGCGGGAGGCGCATGATCACCCACTCTGCCATGTCCAGCACCATTGGCTTCTGCCTCTTCTCCAACCTGGATGATGGGATGGGCTATGGCTGTGTGGAGAGTGTCCTTGACTGCTGGCACCAGGAGGGCATAGAGAACAGCCAGGAGATCCTGAAGGTAACTGACAGCTGCATCTTAACTCTTCTGTTTGCCTTGTTTTTTTATCCCAGTATAGGATGCTGAACTGTAGCCAGATCACTTCTTTATTTCATTTCTTTGATTCCCAGTGCTAGTGAGAAGAGTCTAATCCCAGAGAGCTAGAAGTTAATGATAAAAATGTAACGTGACTTCCAGCTTAGCTTGGAAGAGGTCACCTTTATTCATAGAAAGTTGACTATGAACCAGCAGTGTGCCATTGTGGTCAGAAGGGACAATAGTATGCTGGGGTGCATTGGGAGGACTGTGGCCAGCAGGTTGAGGTTCCTGTACTTGCTCCTGGTGAGGCCACATCTGGAGTACTGTGTCCAGTTCTGGGCTCCTCGGTACAAGACAAGGAGCTGTGGAGAGGGTCCAGTGGAGGTCACAAGGATGATTGGGAGGATTGGAGCATCTTTCTTATGAGGAGAGATTGTGGGAGCTGGGCCTGTTTAGTCGTGGGAAGAGAAGACTGAGAGGGGATCTCATTAGTGCATATAAATATCTCAAAGGCAGGTGCCAGCATGATGTTGCCGCACTCTTTTCAATGGTGCCCAGCAACAGGATGAGCAGTGGCCATAAACTAAAACACAAGTTTCACCTCAACATGAGGAAGAACTTGTTTATGTTGAGGGTGGTAGGGTGCCCAAAGAGTCTCTCTGGAGAAGTTCAAAACCCTCCTGGACTCGTTCCTGTGTAACCTGCTTTAGGTGGCCCTGCTTTGGCAAGGGGGTTGGGCTAGATCATCTCCAGAGGTCCCTTCCAACCCTAATGATTGTGCTTCTGTGAATCTAAATCCTTTACCTCACTGAACAGCTGCTCCTGCAAACGTTTCAGCATTGGGATGTCCTAAATTATTGCCTGTGCTGAGTGGAGGGACAGAGCTTGGAAACCTTGCCCAGTCCTTAGTGTTTTATTATACAGAGTAAAGGGTAATGGGGGGTTGCAAATCAACCATCTGAAGTCATTCTGCCTGCCCATCTCACTAGAAGCTGTGGCTGGGAGACGATAAATTCATGTGTCATTCTGAGACCATCGCTGGGTTCCCAGCAGCAATAATGGCAGATTTCTTTTGGCATTCAGTGGCTGTGTGGGTATTGACACCCAGGTGGTAATAAACTCTGCCATAGCTCAGGCTTTAAAACCCACTTGTAGACCAGTTTGATAACATGGTACTACTTACAGTGGACTTGTGTGATTATGCCTTCTGCTTGTTGCTTTACTCTTGTAACTTGCCTTGTTATCAGTGTTCGCAGTGTTTCAGTCCCACTGCCAGCCCTTCTGTGCTTCACTTTGTGTTCCTGCAGACTTAAGTTGAAGGAAATGAAAAGCAGTTGAAGGAGAAAAGAAGGTTCTGGGGAGACTTTAAGGCAGCTTCCAGTGCCTAAAGGGACTGACACAAAAACTGGAGAGGGACTTTTGACAAGGGCCTGTAGGGATAGGGCACGGGGAAATGGCTTTAAGCTCAAATAGGGTGGATTTAGATTAGATATTAGGAAGAAGTTCTTCCCTATGAAGGTGGTGAGGCACTGGCACAGGCTGCCCAGAGAAGCTGTGGCTGCCCCATCCCTGGCAGTGTTCAAGGCCAGGTTGGACAGAGCTTGGAGCAACCTGGTCTAGTGGAGGATGTCCCTGCCTGTGGCAGGGGTTGGAACTGGATGAGCTTTCTGGTCATTTCCAACCCAAGCAATTCTATATGGTTGATTCTGTATGATTCCTTACTCTGTGAGAGGTGGGATAGTTGCTATCAAATACCTCCTACAAGGCTGTTTCTGTGTTTCTACTGCAAGAGCTGATTTTGTTTAACATGAGCATCTTCAACCACTTTCTTGCAGCATTTGAAGACATAAGAAGGCCAGTGTAGTTATGTCCTCTAGAGAATTAGTGGTTTTAATCAGGCATAGGCTTAATTTCGTGTTGGTCTTACAGCACAGCCAAGACACTTTCCATCTCCACAGCTGTCAGCAGCTCTTTAACATAGGAAAGTGGCAGAGATGTCTGGTTTATTGCCCCAAAGGCATTTGTGACACATTAGTCTCTTCTGAGCCTCCTCATTTTATTCTGTCACTCCATGTACAAATGTCTTCAGTCTCCTGCAGGGCAAGAATGCTTGTTCTGCTCTAACAATGTGGTGTTCTGCAGGCTTTGGACTTCAACTTGGATGGGAAGGTGAACCTGACAGAGCTGACGCTGGCTCTGGAAAACGAACTTTTAATAACCAAGAATGGAATCCACCAGGCAGCCCTGGCAAGCTTCAAAATGGAGATCAGACACTTGCTGTAAGTCACCTAGATTGCCACCTCTGCTGTTTCCTCACTGCCCTCTCCCTTTGGCCCAGCAGAAGTTTAAGTAGGAGCTGATTAATGATGGTTCACAGCACTTCTCTGAGGGGCATTGATGTGGTGCTGCCCTTTTGCTGGAAGGCAAAGTTCTTTTCTAGCTTGGTCAGAGACTTTCAGTGCTCTCATTTTGCATGGGTAAAACACTCAAACCCAAGTATTGCCGAAAACCAGACTTAATAAAATCCAAGCAGTAGGCTGTTCCCAGAGCCCGGCTCTGCGGTCTGGAAATGGTCACTGCAATCTACAGTTGTCGATGGCCAAGGAATGCAAACCTGAAGATGGAGGCTGGTGCAATTTGATAAGCAGTACCTTTAATAATAACTGATTTCTTGTAGTAGCATTACATAGGTTTTGGCATGTGATAAAGGGGTGGATGAGGTACAAAACCACCTTGGATCCCCGCTTTTTTCCTTTGAAAGTCAACACAGTTTGAATTTGCACTGGACTTGCCACGCAAGCCTCTCTGTTAAGAGAGCATAGGAGATGAGAAGCATATTCCCCTGTTTGTATGTTTAATATAGATATTATTTGCATGTGCTACTGAACTCAAATATTTCTTCATATAGATACCAATGGATCACCTTGTCCACCACACTTTGGAGACTGCACCCTCAGTTTTGCATTGGTTCATTCCTCTTGTGTAACTGTGGCATCCATCTGCCATGTGCATGAACTCCAGTTGCTAGTGGTATTTTGTTTGTACTGTAAATCTTTGAATAGCTTAGATAATTATCAGGTTATGCATTCAAACCCATGCAACACCACAGATGACTTTCATTGGTCATCAAGACTGCAAGATCATTAAGTCCTGTTACTTGTTGGCTCACCACTTGTGCTTGCAAGTTGCCCACTTTGCTTGTATAAAAAGATGAGGTTTTCGGTGTGCTTGCATCTGCATGTGTAAATAACTTGTGTGTGAAGAGATTTGTTGTCAAATTATCACCAAGAAAACTGCTCAGTGTAGCAGATCTTACCAACTTATGATGAAAACCTGGGTGGGTGTAGTGTAAGGGTGAAATGGTAAAGGTAATAAAACAAGAGAACAAATAAATGGGCAGAAAGCGGCTTGTCAAAATGGCATAGCACTGCAGTTTAGGAGGCTAGACCACAGCTGAGGAGCTCATGAGTTGAGGTCTTGTGAATCTAGGAGTCCAGAGCTGTGTGTGCAGGTTCATACCTAATGACTAAATGCATTTGATAAGACCCTTGGACAGCTTTCTGAGCTGTTTTTCTCTCATGAGCCTCTTGCAAGTATCTTCTTTGGGGGAGGTGTGAGGGATGACCTAATCCAGACCAGCTGTGCTTACCTTAGGGAGAGAGCTGACCAAGTGGCCAGAGAGAAAGAGAAGCTGCGGTCGGACTTGGAAAAAGCTGAAAAGTTGAAATTCCTGATGGCCTCCGAAGTGGATGACCACCACGCTGCAATTGAGCGCCGGAATGAGTACAACCTCAGGTATGATATCCTGGTTCACCCCTCTCCTTCTCTTTGGCATCATTGCCATAGTGTTGCAGGGACTCAGAGGTGGAGCGGCTTTACACCTGCTGATTACCACTGAGCTTCACTCACAGTATCACTGGCTGACTGCTCCTTTTAAGAGCTCTTCTTACTTCCAATGCCTTTGTAGGAAGCTGGATGAGGAGTACAAGGAACGAATTGCAGCTCTAAAGAATGAGCTCCAGAGAGAGCGGGAGCAAATCCTGCAGCAGGCTAACAAACAGCGGCTGGATCTGGAGCAGGAGATAGAAAAGCTGAAAAATGATGAGAACTACATCCGCGACCGCCTCGCCCTTTCCCTGAAGGTAGTGGGCACTAAATACAGCTCTCTTTTTCCCCAAAAAGACAAGGGAGTGCCACTTGCAGCATGGTCCTTGTTGAGGAGATGTGTTGCAGTGCATGCTGAGCTATCTGAAAGTAATTTCAGCAGCAACATAGAGGCATATCTGTGAGAACTGGGGTTTTTAGGTCACCTTGATAGGTTACTCCTTGGATTGATAAAGCTCCAGTTCAAGTTTCTGCTGCCATCAAGTGCAGAGTGTACATGTGTATGGTTATCAGATGGGCTGTGTGCCCTGCTGGCTGTTCGGCTGTCCAGCCAGGAGCTAATGTCTTGACAAAGTTTAAACTATTGTTTTAAAAACAAACACATAAAACCCCTCTTAAGCAAGCTGGCTGCTATCCCTGTTGATAATTTAACTGCTGCCTAATGCAATGGTATTACTCACCCGTGACCCCACAGATTCGACTCCTGTTCTAGATTGTTTTGTTTTGTCTGCTGCTGATCATGTAATTAACTTTTGCTCAGTATAAAAACAAAATGTAATCAGTAATGGTGCTGTCTTACGAACACAGGAGGGAGCTGATGCACCTTTACAGTGTTCAGGTGAGCAGCTTTTGAAAGGGAGTGGTTGTCCTGTGAGCATCGGGATCATTGTAAAATGTTCTTTCTAAAGAAGCCAGCTGAAAGGTGAGAAGAGCCAGAGGAGCACACACACTTGCTGTCCTGCTTCAAGCAGGAGGGTTGTATGTGCATGGGTTCACAATTTCTGTCTTTGAGTGAAGTTTGTAGCAGTGTCGTGCTCTGACTTGACTGGGAGAGTGTGCTCATGGCTTCTTCCTCCTTCAAAATCTGAGGCTGTTGGGGTGGTTTTTTGATGCAGAAAAACAGCCGCCTGGAAAGCGAGCTATTGGAAATGGGAGAAAAACTGTCCAAGTATGAAAGTTTGGCAAGCAAACTACAGAGGAACTTGGAAAACGTCCTGACTGAGAAGGTAAATCCTCCTCTTCCCAGTATGCTTCCAGAATCAAATTGCTTTTTGGTTACTACACTCAAGCTGCCAATTTAATACCTGGAGGCTCCAGACAGTACCAAGGCACAGCCTGCTTTTTGACATGGGCTACCTACTTCACTTCTAGTTAAGGAAGTTAGAGATACTCCATTTTAGCTGTAGTAACAGCAGGGAGCCTTAAGGTGAAGCAATCATCCTGCAGATCTGCGGGGATTTTATTCCCCAGCACAATGTTTTGGATAGACCCAACATGCAGGCCCTTTCTAGGGAAGGTGATACATGAGGTGTATCTCTGCTGCATCTTAAGTGAAAAGTGAGGAGAACAGCTGATCATGGTTGTATCACAATAAACTCATCAGAATAACAGCTTCTTCAAAGGCATTTTGGGGTGGGTGTGTGCGTGCTTCTATAGGCAGAGGCTCATGTACTGAGATGTGCATATGCTAAGATAGAAAATCGAGGTCTGAAATCAAAGTTAGCATGAGAGCTATGGCTAGTATCTTCTAAGGAGGTTGCTTTTTGTCCCCTACCAGCAGTGAAGCAGAGCTTCTGTATTTAAAATAAGATAAACAGAGGGGAGGGGGTGCAGGCTGCCAGGCTGCCTGTGGATGGCGGCCAGGTTGTGATAAGCAGGTGATGTGATGGGTATAAGAGTAACTGTATTCTGTTTATGCCATTTCAGTTTGGGGACCTGGATCCCAGCAGCACAGAGTTTTTCCTGCAGGAGGAGAGACTGGCACAGATGAGAAGCGAGTACCAGCAGCAGTGCAGAGTAAGTGAAGCTCAGGGCTGGAGACCTGGCACCTGTCTGTCCATGTTCATCAAGAACATCCTTACTGCAGACATCAGCACAGAGCAGCAATAGAATGCTGCCGAGTGTTTTTCCTGGCTGAGCTAAAAGGATGAGGTTCCATAAGGGAGGGCTGGGATGGGGTCTGTGGAGCCTCCTTCATTCCCCAGCTGTACATCTAGCCCAACTTCTTGCACAGTTGTGCACTAGCATTTTTTTTGATTTATGAAATAATCTTTGTCCTAATTTGTATCCAGAGTTGCAGGAACTCTGCAGTAGAAATAAGATATAGCTCAGTTTTGCTGGTTTCCAAAACAGTAGTGTTTTCTTAAAACTGAAAAGGTAAAACTTGTCTTCTCCTCTCCACATCTTGTATGGCTGAAATACTTTTTTAAGGTGGGCCTGCAAGCTGTCTATTTACATACCTGTTTTCTGATGACTACAATGGTTACTGGCATTTGGCTTATCAGTTCTGCATGATCCTTTTCACTCAAGAAAGGACTGCCTTGGCAAAAAGTTTTCTAATCTGAAACAGAACAGTAGCTCTCTTAGGAAGCTGCAGTTTAAAGGCAAAAATTGTCTATTCATTGAATTGATTTTGATAAGATGTTGCTGGAATATGCAACTGATTTTCTTGAGTACTGGCAGATATGAATCAGGATTTGAGGTTTATTTTCTGAACCTTTCCAATCTTCAGGATTGTGTTTACACATTCAGGGATTCGCATTCCTCAGTAAATGCTGTTTATCAAGCTGAGCGCATGGCATTTGGCACAAACACTCAGGATATTCCTTTGGCAAGTGGGCAGAAGTACCAGATGGTAAATGCTGTAATGAGGGTATCTCTTTCCTAATTTGATCTTCTTGCTTCTGATTTGATTTTTCAAGTAGATGGAATTTGAGGGGGTGTTTCTTGACTGTTTGAAAATGTTCCTAAGCTGCTGTTCAAAAAAAGGTCATAGGAAGAAGGAATAAAGTGAAAGGTCCTGGAGCACAATATACTGTACAGGCAGAATATACACAGGCTGTCTGAGGAAGGTTCTACTCTTTTAGTAAAAAACATATTTGTTGCTTGCACATGTTAGAACCTGGAGAAGGGTGTTGTTTTGCAGGTAGGAGGTTGACTAACTCTGGCATCATGGCAGGATTATTGACAAGTCTTTACCTACTGTAATTCCCTTCTAAATGTCTCATTGTGGGAGTGTGTGAATGTACAGCTGCTGAGCTGTCTTTGGCTGCTTTCACTCAGGCTTCTTGTTCCCCTCTTTCAGGAGCTGCAAGACCAGATAGATGAGCTGCACTCCGAGCTGGAGGAGTACCGTGCCCAAGGCAAAGTGCTGAGGCCTTCACTGAAGAGCCTGCTGTCAGAAGAGCTTGACATTGATATGAAAAGTCATGGCAATAGTGGTATTGAGCCTGACCAAGGTAAAGCACATCTCCTGTATAACCAACTTCTCTGCTGTAGGTATGATAACATCTTAGAGGCAATTAGTAAAAACTTTCCCAAACCCTCACAGTAAGACTCAAACACCACCTCTGTTTTGCTGCTTAATGTGGAATATGGCTGTTGTACTATCTTCAAAGCTGAAATTAATGCTTGCAGGTTTTTGTCTGTTTGTGCAGTGGTAACATAAGAGCTGCAAGTTAGCTGCTAAAACAAATTTAAATTGATGAAACAATTCTGTTGAGAATGTATCTCTTTGGGCTCCAAGGAGAGAGATATATATATATGTATATAATTACTGTTTTTGAAGGACTTGGTTCAGAAGACTGCAACCCGCTAAATATGAGCATAGAGGCAGAAATGGCTATTGAGCAAATGAAGGAGCAGCATCACAGGGATCTGCATCACCTCAAACAAGAGCTTGAAGACACAGTAAGCTATTTTAACTTAAAATGAAACTTCACACTTTTTTCAGTCTCTTCAGAGGTGGAATGGTCTTGAAGAAGGACTTTTAATTCCTGGTCAAATTATAACCTTTCTGTGAACCTGAGCCTTTAGCTTCCCTGCTCCTTCTTCACATTGCTGTGCAATGGAGGTGTGCTGGAGAAGGCTGAAAGAATGCTGTGGTAGATACACATGCCGCCCACCAGATAATGAGAGAGCAGTGAGCTGTTCCAAGGCAGTATTGCATTTCCTGCAGAGAAAGCCTGCTGCATCTGAATTAGCTGCTTCATTCCTGCTGGCATGGGATAACTGTGGGTTAGAAAGGCTGCTGGCAGGAGTCTGCATTGCTAAATGCTATGCTTGTGCAGTCTGGTGGCGTCTGTACTGTGGGAGTATGGAAACTGCTGTTTTGATACTCATGCTACTGAAAATGGGCAGTCAGCTTCCTCTTTCCTGTGTGTCCATCTGCAGTTATCCTTGCCATGCTTGCAGAAATATTTCCATGGGTTATACGTGGAGAAAGACTGGGTCTGGGTGGGCTTTGAGACACCACTGTAGTGCCTGGGGTGCTAGGGTGAGCTGGCACAGGTCTGGACATGGCACAGTGTGCTCACTGCCAGCCTGTGCTGGCATCCCTGTCAGGGTCACAGTGTCCCTCTGCAGGTGAGATGCACTGGTGTAGAGATGGCCAGGCTCATTCTGTGGGAGTCAGTCCAGGAGCAGAAGTTGGGGGTCCCATCAAGCTTCCCCTGTGTCTTTCAGATATAATTGTTATAAGACTATAAATATTCATTTCACATATGGCATAACATTGAAACTGTATTGTGATGCAGCTGGGACGGGAGTGGGGAAAGGGGACTGATAAAATATCACCCCGAAATAATTATTTTTCCTTAAGTATTTGTCTCCTATCAGTTTGGATTTTTGGGGTTTTGTTTGGGTTTTTTTGGTTGTTTTTTTTTTAAAGGGCAAAACAAAAAAAAATACAAAAAATCTGCCTCCAAACCAGAAAAATGCACCAAAAGTAATCGGTGAAATACAGTCCACTTGCAATTTGCAAAACTGACTTAGGGCTTCATAGTAGTCAGTGACTTCTCTTTTCACAAATTCATTTAATGGAAAAGCATGAATTTCACTGACTTCTATGTAATAATCATCTTTAACCCACCAAGTAAGAAACTAAGCTAGGCATTAGCATTCTTTGCAGGGGAAATCAACATAAGATGCTAATGTGCAAATCAAAATATTCTATAGAATATATGGAAATATTTTGTGCAGAAATGTTGAGAAAACATTTCTGTAGAACATTCTGTTGAAAATGAGTCATTCCAATCTGGTTTCTTTTTTGTAGGTGAGCTATTACGAAAAGCAGCTAGATGAGACAAAAATCCACTCTGAAAAGGAGCAAGAAGATATGAGGAAGAAGTACACTGAAGAGATGCATGTCATGGAAAAGCAAATAACTGGTCTTAAAAATCAAATTGTAGAACTGCAAGGAGAGGCAGCGGTGCTCAGAGAACAGCAGGAAAAGCTTGACTGTAAGCACAATGATGAGAAAAACAAATTACAAATGCGTTTTGATGAGGAAAAAGCCAATCTGCAAGAACTACTGAGGCAGGAGCATGAAGAAGACATTAGAGCCAGACTGGACCAGATAAATGAGAAGTTTAGTCAAGAACGGGAAGAACTGATACAAAATGGTGTCTGGGTGGAAGAAAAGATGAGAGTTTTAGTGCAGACACTGCAGGAAGAGAAGGTAGAGCTGGAACGTGGCTTTCACGAGCAGCTGAAAAGGATGGCTGAGGTGCATGCCCTGGAGAAGAAAGAGCTCCAGCAAGAGCTGCTGAGGAAGCATGAGCAGGACCTGGAGGAGGAAAGGTAAGTGTCACTGCTGGTAGGGACAGTGGTGGTGTATGCTGACCTCAGTGGCTTGGCATGGTGACCGTGAACCTAGTGCAGAATTGACTCCTCATGCTTAATTAAAGTGTACAAACTGTTCAGTGCTGTTATGCATTTTATTCCACAACATTGGGGAACTATCAAGGGGTTGTTTTTCTTCTGGCCTTTCTTAAGCAGATATTTCATATTGATTTTTAACTCGCCCAGAGGCAACAATAGTTTTAAAACGTAACCAGACATTAGTGACTTGAGTTTCTGCTCAGGATCTCTGTGCTTTACAAATCCCGGCTTTGTACTTTTAAAGCATTTGGGTTTTCAGACCTCTTTTCTGAAGAGGTAACAGGTTGGATGGTAAATGTTTTTAGCTAAGATCAAGTGTTAAAAGAAACTGAAACCCTCCGGAGATGACAGGGAGTGATGGGGGTAAGAACATCTGCCCCTACAAATCTTATCGCAAGAATAGAAGGACATATATTGTACACAAAAGCTTTCCTGAGGATATTTCATGAGTTACACTTTTCCAAGGCAATTAGGTTTTTATTTTTGAAAGTTTCAGCAACTTGCCTCAAATTTAACTTTGGCTCTCGGAAACACCCATCACGTAGTACTTCATCTAAAACTCAGTGAAAAAGTGAGAGTTTTTGTCAGCTTGTTTTATTCAGCCTAAAAAGCCATTTGAATCTATTGGAGTTAGTCCAGAGTTTAGTAATATCTTATGCTAACCATGTTTAGGAAAAAAATGGAAAGTGACTGTAACAGAAGAGCATCTCATTTGGAAACTCCATTTTCTGCCAGCACACAAACACTTGTGAATAAATACGAAGAAACAATCCAAAATCTGGAAGGACATTACCAGCGAGAGTTGCGTGAACTTGCTGAACAGCAAAGAGAGGCAAAATCTCAGTGGGAGTTTGAAAAGGATGAAATTGCTCAGAAGGCTGCTGAAGCCCACGAGCAACTGAAGGAAAGTCTGGCAAATGAAAAGGCCATTTCTTCTGCCCTCACCCAGGAGAAAGATCTCCTGGAGAAAATCTTCAAGGAGGAAGTGAACAAGCTTGTGTGCGAGAGGGAGCAGCTTCAGAAGGAACTGTGGGATCTGAGGAGTGCTGCTGAGAAGCAAGAGAAAAGACTGAATGATGAAATAACACAACTCCAAAATGACCATGAGAAAGAGCTAAAGAGCAAAGAGGAGCATATATCTGTGGTGGAGGAAAATGGGAAGCTGTTCAGGCAAAAGCTGGAGAGACTTCACAGTGAATATAAGCAAGAGAAAGAAGACCTCAATTCCAAACTACTTGCTTTGGAGAGTTTAAACCAGGACATTTGTGTAAGAGCAGAAACAGAGAAGGCCAAGATGAATTTAGAAATCTTAAACCTTCAAGGGAGAATACAGAAATTGCAGTGCGAGACCCATTGTTTTTCTGCACTACAAAATCATTATAGGGTCCTGGAAAATGAGTGTACAAAAGCAAAGAGCAGAATTGCTGCTTTTAGTGGTATGGCACCTCTGGGAGGTGATGTGGATGTCCTCTTAAATCTGCAGAAAGTGCATGAGCAAGCAGTGAAGGAAAATGTCAGAATGGCTGCTGAGATCATCAGGCTGCAGCACAAATTGCAAGCAGCAGAGCAGGAGATGGTGCAACCTCCCAGTCCTGGCTGCTCCTACTCCAGCTCAGAACAATCTCAGCTGCCAGATGAAATGGATCCCATCTTTCAAGGGTTGCCCAGCGATTGTAACAGTGCAGACAAGGGAACAGATTTGAATGTCCATTCATTTTTGGAGGCTGATTCTACAGACCTGGAAGAAATGACTGAGATGGATTCAGAACTGGAGAAAGCATGTGTTAAAGCCAGAGCAGGCAGTCATGCCTTCAAGGTGCAGGTGTGTCAAATGCAAGGAAGGAAAGCAGCACTGGAAGCTGCTCTGGTTAACCCAAATGACATGCATCTCCACAAAGAGAGAGAGGAGAGGCATACAGTGGAGCACAGCTTACAAAGCACATGCACTGAGCTGCAGCAAAAAGTTGATCTTTTGAGGTAACGTACATTTGCAAAACTTTGTGGGAAATGTGCTGCTTAGAAACTAACCTAGCATCCCACTCGTTGCTTTGTAGCCACCTGCCTGCTGTATGGCTGCTGCATTAACTACTGTAGTTTAACTCTGATTAGAGATCAGTGCCTTGGACTTGTAACTACTAGCAAGCGGGCTGTTTAATCATGGATAGTGACAGTTGAAATGTGTGACTTACTCCTCTCTGACCGTGACCTAACATGAATGGTAAAACAGGAGCAACCTGCCAGCTGTTCTGTCTGTGGATGCAGTCACCTTTGCAGTGCGTAGTTTATGGTACATCGGAACCCCCTGTATTTTTATGTACAAAATACTATGGTAACACTTACAGAATGCATTTACCTTTTACTAATATCACTTCTTCACTCAGTTTGCACCCTCCTAGTACTCAATGTCACTTGGAATGCTGAAAATGCTTCTGTTTTTTCCAATATTTAAGTTAATACTCAAGAGATATGGTAACTTTTTCCCCAGCAGGAGTACTTAGTGTTAGGAGTCCATCAGGTATGTAATATGGTAAATACGATTATAACACAGAGAATATAATAGGTTTTACGTACTTGTTTATAACTGCTCTATTTTTTTTGTTTTTTTTGAGGCCATGTCATGTTTTAAGCATTATTCTTAGACAAATTCATAACCCAGCACTATACCAGCTACTAGAAAGAAAGTTAACTCTACCCCAGCTGAAACCAGGACACTATCCACTCTGTATTTCATACCATTCACATCATGCCAGGTGCCATACTTCCCACCATCACCTTTACTGTCTTTAGATGTATAAATATATATATATATATATATACACACACACAGATCATTCCCATAGTCTGTGGGCCATCCATACAAAAGTCTGAGTTCCATGATCTGGGGCTCTATCTGTCATAACAGTTTCTCTAGGCAGGAAGGATGGATAGTGTGTATGTTGGATTGTTGCATGCTGAAGTTCATTTTAGTTCCATCACTGCTGCACTTGTCCAATTTTATCAAAGTTCATTCTTCATTAACATGGTGATCAAAAGGGAGTTAGGTTCAGATCCTCAAATCTGAAGCAGTGGGGATGGGTGCCACAAGGTGTCCAGAACAGTGATGGATTGCCGCAGTGAAAGCACTAATATTTAATGTTGTACAGCATCATACAGTTTATGTAACTGGCTATTTTAACCCAGAATCAAATGTCCTTGAGGTACACACTGGACTTCCCCATCCTCTGCATTACCGTTCAAGTGCACCCATATCCTTGAGCAAAAGTGATCCCATGAGTGGGTTTGCCTTTGCCTGAGGCAGGAATAACCCAGACTGTCTTCCCCAGCAAATTCTTTATGTGCACCACAGGAACTTTACCCCCTTCTATGGTATGTAGAAGTTTTGATTGGGCTTGGCCAGCCTGGTTGGCAGATCTCTAGTAACTAACCATGTGACCTTTGCTAAATGTGCATTCCAGTGTTTGAAAGTTTGGGATGTGATGACATCCATGCAGACATTTTATTTCCAAAAATTGGATCTCCTATGCAGGTCCCTTGATCTTACTCTCTTTTATGGCAAACCAGCTTTCAGAAGGACCTGGATTATTTTCTTCCCTTCCTCTCAATGTATTGAAGGTGTTCGGGAACTTGCCCCTGTTCCAGTTCCCTCAGGTACTGGATACCCCTCTCTATGGCCTACAACATCTTCCTTGAAGGGATACCTTTCCTTCACAGCTGATAGGAGTCACTTCCAGAGGCTGAGGGATTGTGTCCCCTTTCAAATTGTCTTGTCAACACCTGCTTCCCTAGAAAGTGATCCCAGCTGCTTGGATTCTCTACTCTCAAAGTTAGAGTGGAGTAGCTGCAGTGTCCATCATGGGGTTAGAGTAGCTGCTGTGCTCATTGTCGGGGCTGGAGTAGCTGTGGTGTCTGTTGCTTTGCCATCTGATTCAGAGACCTTCTTTTCCTCTTGAAGGTACTGGATAGTGTTGAGCAGGGCTCTGTAGGCATGGGCCAGGTCCCAGCACGTTGCAGTTATTTGTACCTATCTTGCACTGCCAGGATGACAGTGTACTTTTTTCTAAAGGTTTTACTAGTTTTTTTCAGATTTTGCATTTGCTAAGGGGTGAAGCTCCAAAGCACTAGAGGGGCCCACAGGCCTAGGTACTCGCCCATACTATCTCACACACCCTGCCACTCATAACTATCCAGCCTTGAGGAAGATCTCTTGGTACTATTCTTAAGTAGTTGTTTAACCTTAAACAAGACCTGAACCATAAGCAATATGCTGGTTCCCAGCAAAAAGGCCAGGTTGGTTTCAAGAGTACCCAAAGGATGTTCAAAACCTTTGAAATTCTCAAATGCTACTCAAATAGGCTGGTGGGGAAGGTGTGGGAGGAAGTTCTCCATAGGTTGGGCCTCCAAGAAGAAAAGGCAAGCAGTATAATTATTAATAGTTCTCATTAGATGGCTTCCAAGGTATAGAGGTGATGGCAATGCTGAGTACATATGCAATTAGCTTCATGACCAGCAATAATATCATGTTACAAGGCATTATTAAAAATGCAACAAAACCAAGAACCTCAGTCCAGGCACTGTGGATGATAAACATCACTGCAGGGAGCGCATATTGCAAGTGTTACATAGTGCAACTCTGAGAGCAAATAAATCAACATTGTGATCTGTGACTATTAAACCAATGCAGTGAACGTTTATAATGAATTTATTTTGACAGGCTCTGGTGAGATCTGTCATTATCGCAAACCTTTGTGCCCTATGTTGAGCATCATAAAGGACCCAGCCAGTAACCCATCACCACACAGCCCCTTGCTCACCCTTCCCTCTGCCTTTCCCCACCGGGTGGGATGGGGAGGAGAACTGTGAGTTGAGATAAGAGCAGTTTAATAACTAAAGTACAGTATTATACTACTAATAATTATAAGGGAAATAACAAGGGGAGAGAAGATAAAACTAAAAGGGAAAAAAAAAACAAAACCAAACTAAAAACCAACCAACAAACAGCAGTGATGCCCAATACAATTGCTTAGCACCTACTGACTAATACCCAGCCTGACCTGAGCAGCAATTGGTCTTTTCTGGGTAACCCCCCCCCCCAGTTTATATCCTGGGTACGACATGCTGTGGTATGGAAATACCCCTTTGGCTAGTTTGGGTCAGGTGTCCTGTCTCTGCTCCCTCCTGGCTTCTTGTGCCCCTCCTCACTAGCAGAGCATGACAGACTGAGAAGTCCTTGATCAGGGTAAGTGCTATTGAGCAATAGTAAAACTTTGGTGCATTATTCAGCATTGTTCTCAGACTGAAGCCAAAACACAGCACTGTGCTGGCTAATGGGAAGAAAATTAGCTCTATCCCAGCCAAAACCAGGACAGGAAAGTAGCTGCAAGTAGCTTCATTATTGTTCAGCACCAGCCTCCTGCAAGAAATCATTCTTTCACGTATTAAACCATGGCTAAGTTACTTTCTTACAGTTGCCTCAGGACAGAAAAGGCATTTTCCAGTGCTGCTGTTTCCAGCATACTAGACTCCTGAAACAGATTGCTCTCCTAGCAATCTGCATATTGTGGTGTTAAGTTGCTTAAAGTTATGTTATTTGTAACTTAAGGGCTGAAAGGTATAGTACAATATTAGTGTGAAACTTTTATTAGGTATCTTAGAGTTTAACCAACTTCAGCTGTACAAAAACATGCACAAAAAGCACCTTTTTTCAGTGATTTGGGGAGCCCTCTTACTAAATGAAATGTAAAATCCATATACCGGTCATACAAGATAAGTCAATTGTAGCTTTCTTCTGAACTAGTACAGGTAGCTTAGGCTTTTGGTAAATCTTGTTGCTGTGGGCCTAGATGACATACAGAACCAGTTTTCACTTGTCTTCTTTCTCTGTCACAGATTTGAAGCTGAGAAGCTCAGAGAAGAAAATATTATTCTGAAAAATGAAGTGACTTTACTGAATGAGGAGGGTAGTGCTTCCAGCCTGAAACTGAGGGAGCTAAATGGGTCCCAGGAAGAAATGCGGTAAGAATTCAATGGGGCATGTACTGCATATATGCCTTTCGGCTCTTGCTGCAGTGCAGACAGGGTGGTTACATCCCTTCTTTCAAAGCTCCTACATGTGTTGGATATACTGTGAAATTTGAAATGGCCTTATTTTCTGCAGTTAATCTGGCTTCTGTTAATGAGCTTTCATTTTTCTTAGGCAAAAGATAGAAGCAGTGAGAAAGGAGAAAGTGGCTGTACAGAAGATGGTTGACAACCTGAAAAAGCAGGTATACAGGCTGAGCCCATAACCTTTCCTGTAGAAATCATCACTGTAGAAAAGCTGTTCCTTACACCATCACAAAGGCAGTAGAAATGACCATTATATATATTTAAACTCTGATAACTGTTCTTACTAACAATGTGGGATTAATGTGAGGCATGTTTGACCTGATCAAGAAACTGCAAAGCTACTGTAACTACCCATCTTATAGACTTGAGAGCACTTTCCATGGTTAACTTGGAAAGTTTATTTAATAGAAATATAAAGTTAAACTATTTCTTTTTGTAGTTTCTCTGGGTAATGCTCTGCTGTAGCCCTTGGGGAGAGAGAGGTTACGTGATTCAGCCTCTACTTATTTCCCAGTTATGTGGGTCTAGGAATGCTGCCAGCCATGACCCTTTGCTCGTATCCATGAGACTGCTACTTTTATTTTAAGGTTGGTTTGTTATGCTAGGCAAAGGAGAAAGTTTAAATGGCTCTTACATTCACACCCCTCTTAGTATTGCTTAGTAAAATTCTACTTGCTCAGAATAATCTACTAGCTCACCAGCACAAGCCTCAGAATATACATCACATGGCAAAGGGAAGGAGGAACAGAGTGGTGAGCCAGATGACTGCTGTCATAATTGATATAATTGAGGCCAATTATGAGAAATTTTGTTTGCAAGGCTGAACACGCATGCAACAGGTCATCAGGAGGACTCCTACTCCTAAATATGATTCTACTTGATTTGGCCTAAAATTAGAGCATGAAGCAAGTTAAAGAGCTATAACGAAATAAAGCAAGCAGTGCTACTGGACTCGTGACTGTTACATAGAGTGAAGGTAACAGCTCCGCACCACTGTTCAGAGTCATTCAGTTTACTCCCCAGTGTAAAAGCAAACGTAACTGACACTGCTTTCCTGATTCAGGTAGTAGATCTGAAGACCAGAAACCAGCAGCTAGACTCCGAAAATACAGAACTTAGCCAGAGGAACTCCAAAAATCAAGCAGATGTGCAGGATCTTAATCAGCAGCTGGCAAGGGTGCTCAAGCAAAAGGAAAGAGAATCGGGAAAGTGTACCCTGGAAGAATGGGAAAAGGAAAGACTGGTACTAAAAGAGGAACTGCAAAACTCCAAAGTAAAGGTAGAGGATTCCACTATTTCTAACAGTATGAAATAACTGAACTTCTAGGAGTGTGCAGGTGCCATGGAGTTAGCATCCCATTCCTGAGCTATGTTGTGTTCTTTCAAAACTGGACTTCCAAGTACTAGCTGCAAATATACATGCATGTGGTAGTGGGGGTAGAAGGAAAGTCTGGCAGCAGCCAATAGCAGGGAGAAAGAAATGTTTAGGTTTGCCTTGAAAATGTGGCTTAGTGATACTAAAGATTTACCTGCATTTTCCAGCATCTGTTCTATACAGTACAGTGCCATCCCAGCTCCAAGCATGTCACTGGGTGCAGCATCCTCTGGTTAATCTTTGTTACTCTGCATGTCTCCTATGTTGAAACCTGAGCCTTTTACTTTTTGCAGTCATCAAATATGGTGTCTTCCTTGGAGACGGAGCTGTCGAAAATAAAGGTTCAAGCTCGCATGCTGGAGCAGGAGAACCACATTCTCAAGCAGGAACTTGAGAAGACAAAACAGGTATGGAAGCTCATTTGAGTGCCATGAGAGAATGCCGGCTGCCTCTTAAAAACATGTCCTGCTCTCTTGTCAGAGTTGGAAAGAGTTATTTCTCTAAAGAAGTCATAACAGCAGGGCAATATAAATCCTCTTGAAACAGTCTCTGGGTACAATGCATAATTGTTCAGATAAGGTTGGTTTCACTTAGCCCTTGCCAGAATGTCTTCCAGAGTAGTGGATCTACAAAGGCAGGCTTTGATAATGAAGGCAAAGACTTAAAGCTCTAATCAAGGAATAGATAGGGCTTTTCTAGTTTGTGCAGATGGGATAGAACTGCATATTATATAGTCACAGAATGGTTTGGGTGGTAAGAGACCTTAAAAACCATCTAGTTCCAAGCCCCCTGCCACAGGCAGGGACACCTTTCTCTAGACAGGGTTGCTCAAAGCCCCATCTAACCTGGTCCTGTGTAGCTCAGTTTAAGGACTGGTCTCTTCCAGCCCATCATTTCAGAGAGAATTCCTATTGTTAAACCCATCTGGAGACTTCAACATCTCATAGCTTCTGAGGATAATTTCCTGGAGAGCCTGGTTAACACCTGCCTAAGCATAGTTCAATTGGCTGTAAATATATGCTAATAAACACAGATAATGAAGGCTACAAATGAGTTAGCTCCCTTGAGTAGGGCTTCATAAAGTAATTCTCTTTACGCTGTAAAGCGCTCATTTGATGTATCCAATGCTTAGAATAGATAATGGTCTTAAAAAGCAAAAGCAGATGAGACCTATTCAGTAGAGAGTGGATTGTGGCTTGAGTGTAATTAAAGAGAGAAGATTGAGTGGGCAAAAACAGAACAGCATAGGAGAAAGTTGAGTGTTCATAGAATCACAAAATAGTTAGGGTTGGTAAGGACCCTAAGATCATCTAGTTCCAAGCCCCCTACCATGGGCAGTGATGCCTCACAGCAGACCGTGTTGCCCAAGGCTCTGTCCCACCTGGTCTTGAACATTGCTAGGGATGGAGCGTTTAATTCTCTGGGCACCCTGTTCTAGTGCCTCACAGCCCACACAGTAAAGAATTTCTTCCTTACATCTAATCTGAACTTACTCTGTTTAAGTTAAAACCCACTACCCCTTGTTGTATTGCTACAGTCCCTGATGAAGAGTCCCTCTTCAGCATCATTTTAGGCCCCCTTTAGATACTGGAAGGCTGCTGTGAGGTCTCACCTGGAGAATGGAATGAGGTGTTACGCTAAGGCACTGTGTCAAATGGGAAAAAGATCAGAAGTCAACAGTAAAGTTTGAGGTTTGTTTTTTTTTTTTCCCCTTTTATAGAAGAGGCAGAGAAGAACCAGCCCTAATGCAAATGCCAGGACAGGGCAATTAGGAATCCTTAGCACTGCTGTTGCAGAAAGGATGCCTTGGATCATATGAAGGGTACTCATATGGTCATTTGTACTGAATTGGAGTACACTTCTCTCTTCCACTCTACGCAGAGTGAGATGCTTGGCCTTGAAGAGAGGACGGTGTAACGCATGCAAAATCTGAAACAGCACAGAAATGTAACTGAGGGGTTTGTTTTCCACAGCTGCCCAGATGTCCTGATCTTTCTGACCTTCAGAATGAAGTTTCAAGCTTAGTTTCTAAAAATGAAAAGCTGCAGAAAGAAAAGGAAGCCCTGAGTGAGGAATTAAACAGTTGTATTGATAAGGTAAGAAAGAACTGTAAATTCACATAGCTATCTATGTGCTGTGATGAGCTGTTAAAATTCTTGTATCATTATCTGTCACCCTAATCTGTAAAACTGTTTTGGATTGTTTTCTTTTTTATTTCCCTTCAAGCCAGATAAAGACTTAATGCCACTCCCTTGTTTTGTTTGGTGGTGGTTCCCCCCCCCCCCCCCCCCCCCAGCTGGTCTTAAAGCTTCAATTCTGGAGTGCAGCTTTACTGTAATTTGATTACACAGAAAATTCCAGACATTGCAAGGGACACAGGCCTGGCTATACACATTGCAGCAGGACAAGGAAGACAGTGTTCTTCACTTTTATTGCAACTCTTACATCTTGTAACACTGAGCTCGAGCAGTGTAGCTAGTTATGCACACTGTAAATAATGATCCTGTTGTGTAGAGATTCAGGGCTGGGAGCTGGGGGGCTGTTCTGCTCTCATGCATTTTCTTTGCATAGCTGTAACTCTCTCTAACTTCTCTCTCAAAGCCAAATTGAGTTTAAGCAAATCCTGAATAACTCAGGCTTACCAGTGTAATCTTATTTCAGGTGGCTAAAGCAAGCTGCTTAGAGAATGCAGTTGGCAGCTTGAAGCAGGAACAGAAGTCCTGGGAACAGCAGAGTCAGACACTGAAAACACAGCTCACAGTTTCACAAGAAAAGGTATAAAAGTGTTGTGAAAGATGAGTGGTTTGGGGTCTCTCAAGGACCATCAAAGGTATTAGCAAGAACAATTTTAATATGATTTATAAAGGCACGACTTGGAGTGAATCTTGCTGTCAAATTCTTCTATTACTTATTACATGGATGAAGCATACAGAGGAAAACAGAGGTAAAATCGATCTAAAGATGATTAATACAGAGACTGAAGGCACAAAGGATAGGGGAGACTCTCCTGTTGAGTCATGAGGTTCAGATTGGACCCCCTTGCTTTCTAAATAGCAAACAGAGCCTAGGCGCATTTAGTCTCAGACTTAGTCAATGGTATTCATCTAAAGGGTTCCAAGTGTCATTAAGCATCAGTTTGCAGTTTTAAAGTGAATCACAAGATTACTTTTGCCAATTCATTCTGCTCAGTTATACCTAAAATACTGCAGAGGTCCTGCTGTTGCTGTCTTCTTTTCTGGCAGTGGCTCATCTCTCTCCAGGCAGGGGAGTGGAGCGAATGGCTATCTGCTTGGCCGATGACACAGGGGTTTTCTTGTTGGCCAGGGGCTGCCAGGAAGAATAAATAATTCAAGAGAAATATTCACTTCCCAGGACATCACTGTAAATATTCAGGGAACAAGAATGTGTCTCTGAATGCAGTGTTGTGGCTGAATTCAAAGTGGATCGCTACTAATTGGGAACAGAAAGTTAAAATCATTTGGCATTTTTAAAGAGGGCTGTCAGCATTGTAACTTCTTCATTCCTTTTCTTCTCTCCTTCCATCAGAGACCCTAAATGTGTGTGATATGTGGTGCATACACATCCAAGCAGACTAAGGTTACAAGAAACGTTGGTCCAGCAAATGCCAAGCTGCTTTCTTGCTCGTTACAGGTTCAGAGTCTAGATGAAACACTGCAAAATACAAACCTTCAAATGTCCCGACTAAAATCGGACTTACGGGTGATACAACAGGAGAAGGAAACTCTTAAACAAGAAGTGATGTCTTTACACAAGCAACTGCAAAATGCAAATGAAAAGGTAACAGACTTCAGGTGCCTCAAAGTCAGTCAACTTTGCATGTCAGAGTTACAGACACTGGCTGCTGGTTTTCTGTAGCTATCTTTACGATAGCTCATCCACTAAAAGAACACATAGTGCTGCAGGCTTGAGCAAGTAGACTGAGTTGTGCAACTATTGATGTCTTATTATTATTTCTAAACAAGTGATATAAAGCTAATAATTACCAAAAAGAGCTGAAAGGTGGGTACAGAAAAGCCTTATTTTAATGTTGGTTTCTGTATTTTGTAGTTTTCCATTTTAAAATGGCTAATTATACTTATGTTATTATAATTATATTAGCTATAGTTATAGTTAACTACAATTAGTCTTGTTTGATTGTATATAATGTGCAGATTTTAAACTTATTTTTAGAAAACTTGCTTTAAATTTTGAACATAAGGACAGGGGATGGTCAGTGCATCTCCTGAGGCTGCGAATCTGTGGACAATGTATGAATTCACACCTATGAAAGCTATAATCATTGACAGTCAAACCAGTAATTGAAAGGGGGGGGGTTGTGTCTTAATTTTCACTCACACTTGGTTTTGAAAGGCATGGTATTATATCAGCCTCAACTGATAAGGAACTAACTGAAGGAGGTTGTAGACAGCAGTGCTGGGATTGGTATTATAAATTCAGTTAGTAATTTGGCTTGTTTGCCATGTAATTAAGGAATATTTAATGTCCACTTGGAAAAGAGGCTGTTTCACAATTGTACAACAGGAACTAAATTACAGCTATTACTGAATAATATATAATACTGAGTTCTATTATGTGCTTGATAAGGCTGTGAAACGGAACACAAATTGCTGTTTTGTAGTGTTGAACTCTGTGCACTCCTATCAGCTATTCTGGTGCAGCGCTATTAGCTATGATTTTAGCAATGGGAAGCACTTTGGGTTTGCACTGTGATTAGGATGTTGGGTTTCTTAGTGGAAAATGGTGTGTAGGCTGGAGGAAGACTGGAATCCTGTGACTTTAGAGTCTGCAGTTACTGAAAACCTACTTATAAACTCACCTGAATAGAGAAAATGTCTGCTTCTTTGTTTAAGGCCTAACCCTGCAATTCTGTCTGTCTTAAGAATCGGGTTCTAGAACTGGCTGTGCCTTCCTCAGGGCTGCAGCAGGACCAACAGCGGCAAATACACTGGGATGAGCTGGACCAGCTGACAAAACAGGAGCAGCAGCTGCTCAGGCAGGAGAATGAGAGGCTGCAGAGAGAAGTGCAGAGTGCTAAAACTGACCTGACTCACTCCAGGGAGAAGGTAACCAGAGCAAGCTGACAGATCACAGAGGCAGTCTTTAGTGATTCCTGTTTAGCAGTGGGTTATAAAGGAAGGGAATGTTGTTCATTAGCTTTGAACAGAAACATTTGCAGAAAAAATGTGTAATGGAGTAGTTTCTTTATATCTGCACCTAATTAGCAGACACGCTTATGATGGTCTTAAACAGCTCTTTATTTAAAAGAAAGTCCTGATAATTCCTAAGTTTCTGGTCTGACTTTCATTTAACACACTTCAATTTTTTTTCTTTATTAAAAAAAAATAATATTCCTGGCATTCTCCTTGTGCGTTTCGTGGCTCACAGTATTAAGCAGATTATGGGGAGGAGGAAGGGAAATAAGGACGAGATGGTCCAAGCTAAAATGTCAAAAAATCTGTTACAAGTCTGAAGTCTGTTGGTACTCAATATTTTAGACGAAGCAGATGTGATTTTTGGAATGGTCTGGAACATCTTTCAACATCTGTTCATCTCTGGTCTCTTTAGATCCGACAGTTGGAATCTACTATCCTTTCCCTCAAGCACCAAAAGCATCAAAGCCAGTTGGGCATCGTCAAAGCCATAGAGCAAGAGAAATTAAGCTTGAAGAGAGAGTGTGAACAGCTTCAGAAGGAGTTGTCATCTGCAAACAGGAAGGTTAGTATTAGAGGGCAAATAGGTGACTCAATGCAGTACTTTCCATCTCTAAGAACTAATGTGGCAAGCAGTGAATTTTCTTCTTTTTCTCTGAGCTTTCAGCTTTCTGTCTCTTGTGAATCCCTGTCCCAAGGAGCTGATTGTCTTCTGTGTTTCTGCAGAGCATACAGGGTGGAAGTCCTGCCAGTGTGCTGCATGCCTTCTAGTTGGTTCTAACAGTTCAGTGGTGGAACACAAGAACAACAAACAAAATGTGGCCTGTTCCAAGTGCTCAGCAATACATAGGGCTTACATTACCACTTCTAGATTAAACCCTGCTGATTCTTTACAACTTGTCAGAGGTGCTGCATAGCATTGTCTTAGACATTGCTTTCAGCAAAGCATTAGACTTGTCCAAATACTTATGTCTTTTAATCCTGAATTGTCTTCACATGCAATGATTTGTGACTTGCATATGGGGGGGATAAAATAAGGAACTACTACCTTCCTAAGGAAACTTCTTGTCTTTAACAGATCAGTCAGATGAATTCTCTTGAACGTGAACTGGAAACCAGCTCAGAAAATGAAGGGCTAAGGAAAAAGCAAGTCAAACTGGATGATCAGTTAATGGAGGTACTTGTCAATCAGTGCTGAATAGTGTGGGGCTTTCTCAGTATCTCCCTGAATCTAAGAATTTATTTAAAGACAACTTTTAGATGTGTAGGAAAGGTGAAAACTTAAAGGAAACCAGAAGAATTAATCTCCCCCAGTGCCTATTCTCATCTTCGTGATCAAGATGTTAGTGTGGCAAACTGGCTTCTTTGAAGCATGTTGTGGTTTATCATAATTCATGTAAGGCTTCAGATATCAAATCAAATAGCAAAGACATTTATTGCTGTGCTTGAGGCACTTTCCTCTTCCTTCCTAAAACATGTCATCTCAAGTTTCCTAACTAATATTTGTATAATGCTGCTCTTAATGTACAAACCTGTTCCTATTAGAGGAATAATTTGCTGAATTTAAGCCTTGCTACCCTATCTAGATCATGATAGGACAACAATTTACCCAACTTGCCTTGGTTACAGGGATGAGCAAGCTTAACTATGGTATGTTAACATATCCCTTCAGATTAGGCTAGACCTCTGTGTTGCCTCTCAGCAGTCATGCCTAAACTTGAGGTCCTGAATTTGAGATTAAAACATAATATTTAAAAAAAAACCCAAACATCACAATTTTGACTTATTCCATAAATCAAAGCATCTTCTAGTTGAGGTTTTTACAACACTGTTTATTAAAAGACTTCATATTTTTCATCAAGAGAGCAAATGGGAAACATTATGCTGAATATAGTATGTAATTAGCTATAAAATTCTGAAAACTTTATTAGAAAAGATCAGATTTTTTTTTACAAGTTACTGAGAAGACTGTTTATGTGCCATCTGTTTTTGTTTATATGCTCTTAATTGAGCTTTGGGAAAACTCCAAACACTGTTAAACTCTTCAATATAAACACTAAGCATGGAATTGTGTTTTCTCCTAAAATTTGTATTTCAAACATGCAGGACTTTTGTTACCCCTGATAACATTTTCCCAGCAGGTGTGTATAACATTCACTTAGCACTTTATGACTTCTAACTTTCTCTTTTGTGCCTGTTCTCCTTTTGTTTGTGGCTAACCTGTCTAGAACTCAGTGGTTGGAACTAGCAGAGAAGGGTGCAGTTCTCTTTCTGAAATAGTGTGCGAAGGTAGAGCAATCATTTTCAATGTACTACCACAGCATGAAGATAACATGTTTCTTTTATGGATTTTTTTTTTTTCTTCTGTGCATCTCTTGTAAAGAAGCCACTATTCATTTTTATAGAATGACAGAATGGTTTGGGTTGAAGGGGACCGTAAAGCTCATCCAGTTCCAACTCCCCTGTTGTGGGCAGGGATACCTTCCACTAGATCAGGTTGCTCAAAGCCCCATCAACCAATTTCAATGTAAAATTTTTACTCCTTGTTGTTAGTATATATCATGCAAGTTGACTCTGTATGCCAAGAAGTTGCATACTTCTAAGGCATTGCCATGAAAATGGAGAGAAATGACCAATTGCGTCCAAAAGAATTAAACTCAGCATAAGAAAATGAAAAGTGGCTCAACTCCTTCCTTTTAACCCGTTGACTGTGAGGCTTGAAGGTGTTTGCATATTTACTCGGAGATCTGCATGCTTTTTCACCACTGTCAAATGTTTCCTTAATTAATTACTTATTAATTAATAATACTAACTGAAATGTGATTACACTTAGTGTCATCTCTAATAGTTTAGTAAGTTTGTTACTGTTCCGCTTTCTTCCACAGAAGAATGCGGTAAGTCTATATTGTTTTCATTAGCCAAGCAAATGGTATGTATTTTTAAGAAGCGTTAACATTGACTGTTCTTTCAGCTATTTCATTAGATACTCGTGTACATCACAACCTTACAGGGAAATCCTAAACAAATCCCATCAAAACCTCTTTAATTTCACTGTTTATATTGTCAGTAAAAAGAATAGCTCCTTTACAAACAAGTTGATTCAAGAGAACCTTCTTACAGCTTAAAAAGAAAATACAAGTAGTTTTAAACTACTTTAACATATTTCCTGTTTATCTGGGCCAGCAGAGATGTAGAGAGGCAAACACGGCCGGAAGAGCTGTGCCATTATGAAAAATGCTTAGTTATTTACATTACAGATGGCCTCAGTAACTGATATGTTACGCATTGACGCCTTAATTATACCACTGTGAGAGGAAAATTTAGACCACTAACATAATCCTATGTGCCTTTTCCTAAGGGAATAGAGTAATGGTTTTCAGATAACAGGTGAGAATTTTATGAGGATGTCAACTGGGGACCTTTATGGGAAGAAGTATTACTCTTATGCAAATTCAAGCTGCAAATCAGCTTTTCTGAAATATCAGGAGTGTTCACTGTACAGTTCTGGTCTTTTATTAGTATTATTAACTCTTACAATGTGAGCTAGTCTTACCTGGATTTCCCCTTAGTCTAGAAAAATGCTAAATTGTTTCACGTGACTATCTTAGCTCTTAATACTCTCTGAAAGATCATCTAATGCTGGGACAGTTATCTAACTTGGTCTGTCGTGGTTACAAAGCTACTATAGTAAGACAATGTCAGAAATGCTTCTTCTCTAGCCACTTTGACCCAGTAACTGTCACAGCACTGCTTGGCAGCAGTACTCAATGAAATGATGTGGGGAAGGTAAACTGTTTGGGACAAGTCGGTTCTGAGCTGCAATCTTTGCTGCAGCAAGGACTATCAAGAGTGTGATCCTTTTGTCCCATGTGACATGCCTAGTTTTACCAATAAAAACTTCTTTGGTAGCGTAATTTTAACAACCACCATTACACACAAACTATTTGTTAGTGTCTGTTGCCTTTACATTAAACAGACTTGCTGATGCATTTTTGTAAGCTTTTATTTTCTTACTTCAGATTGTTACGTGCATCCCTCTCTATCTCAAGGGCCCCTCTGAGTATACTTTTGCTTATGTAGCACATATACTCAGGTCTCCAGACTCAGTATCAAACTCTGCTTGTGGCATGTCTCAAAATGAAAATTATAAAATATGTTAACATTTCTACAGTTAGTAGTGAACATAAGGAAAGATATATATGGGATTCCAGATACTCAATTCTGAATACTATAGCAGCAGGCATCAAATTACTTAAGTCATCATACATGACATTGAAAATTCATTTTGCTTTTGAGAAAGTTCTCTCTCCATTGTGAATTGAAGATGAGAAATACTTGGCAGTGGTGGACAGTTTTTTCAGCCTGCCTCATGCTAGTGTTTTTATTTGGAAGTGGATGCTATTTTTAGAAGAGCTGATGAGATCAAGGTTAAAATTAAAAAGCACTATTAAGTTAAAGCTCACTGCAGGCACATTTAACTATGATAGGATTTTATCAGAAATTCAGTGAATTTTTAATTCAAATCTGAAATCATAGAATCTTAGAATGGTTTAGGTTGGAAGGGACCTAAAATCATCCAGTTCCAACCCCCCTGCAATGGGCAGGGACACCTTCCACTAGACTAGGTTGCTCAAAGCCCATCCAACCTCGCCTTGAATGTTTCCAGGGATGGGGCAGTCACAGCTTCTCTGGGCACCCTGTGCCAGTGCCTCACCACCCTCACGGTAAAGAACTTCTTCCTAACATCTAATCTAAACCCTTTCACTTTAAAGCCATTCCCCTTTGTACTTTCACTACATCCTCTTCTAAAAAGTCCTTCCACAGCTTTCTTGCAGGCCCCTTTAGGTACTGAAATTATAAGTCAAAGCTCAGATTCCTTTAGATTTCAGAATTGCAGATAAAGATGCATCTTTTTGTCATTGGAAAGAGAAAAGCTGCCTCTTTAGCTTCTGTTACTGAGTTCAGGCTTGCTTTTCTTTCATACAAGAAATTGTTCAAGAGTAAGCCAGCATTGCCAAAAGATATCTTGTATGTATGGCACTGCTGCTTTCTCCTGATGGCCGATTTACTCTGCTCTTCAGATGCTCCACTCAAACACCAGTGTGATACTTAGCCACTCACCGCACTCCCGAGAGCTCCAGCAGCAAGGCTGTGCTATGGTGCCCAAGGAACAGTTCCTGCAGCTCCAACACCAGCTACTACAAGCAGAGAGGAGGAGTCAACGTCTTCAGGAAGAACTTGAAAATAGACCCTCTGAAACAAACATGCAACAGGTAAAGCTCTCATTACTCTACAGGTTACAACTTTAAAAGGGTATCTGCTTAGTTTTCTGGGTTTTTCAAATTCTGATGAGATCCGTTCTCTGTTTATGCCAGTTCAAAAATTAAAATTAAAATTCATTCTACCAAACATATGTACAAAACAGCCCTTTCTTATTTAGCATGTTCAGCTTAAGCCATACTTAATTCTAAAGTCCTCGTAATGTTTTTGAGCTAAAAAACATTCCCATCCACACACAACTGGCTTTTCTCCTTATGATCGATGTGCAGCAAGTGTTTGTAGGTTGGTTTTTTTTTGTTTTCTTTACGTTATGTCGATGTCTGGAAACACTGTTTTAAAAAATACACATTACCTATTGCACAAGCACATACTCATTGCACATAAAATACTAGTTTGGGCTGTTGCTGTCACATGGAATTCTGTCAGCTGTAGTAAAGCAGAATTCAAACAAATTAATCCTTTTTATAAGGTCATTTTATCCTCACTATTTGGCCATGGGAAAAGATGTTGTTTGGAGAGCACTGCTTTTTCCTCAGAAATGCCAGTGTTGAAGTTTCTGTATGACAGTAACAATCTAATTCCAAGGGAGATTATATCCACTGCACATATTGAACAGAGTCACTTTTAGTAGTGTTTGTGGGGTTTAGCATGTAAAACTGAATTACAGGCAATTTTTATGTGGGAGAGGCAAATTGTCCTACTTATTAAGTTTGGGGACTAGGCTTACCAAATCACAGCATCACAGAATGGTTTGGGTTGGAAAGGACCTTGAAGACCATCCAGTTCCAACTGCCTGCGACGGGCAGGGACACCTTCCACTAGACCAGGTTGCTCCAAGCCCTGTCCAACCTGGCCTTGAACAGTGCCCAGAATGGAGCAGCCACAGCTTCCCTGGGCAACCTGTGCCAGTGCCTCATCACCCTCACGGTGAAGAACTTCTTCCTCGTATCTAATCTAAATCTCCCTCTGTCAGTTTAAAACCATTCCCCCTTGTCTAAATCTCTGTTTGGCTCAGGCCATAGGTCTTACATAGTATTACAACTTATGAGAAAAGATAAAGCTCTAAATAACTTAGATAAAATACTAACACTTTTATTTATCTCTTAACAGGAAAAAAATACCAAACAACAAATGAACTTTACATTCTAAACTCAGATACCAGTTATACTTTTTAAAAAAATAAGACCAAGTCTTTGAAGCCTAAAAATATCTGAATGTGTTTATAGGATAATCTGGAAAAAAGGTATTATGGAGAGAGCATATATATATAGTAACAGTTTCTGAAGTTTCCAAAAACTGAAGTAAGAATTCTTTTTTTAAGAAAGGCATAAAATCAAAGTTTCCCCAGAAAAAGAACTTAACAGCAACTAATATAGGATAAGTAAATCAATTGTAAGGTTCTCTGCCTTTCATCTGAGTCCTAATAGAAGTGCATTACCACAGATTAATGTGCTTGGTGCCAGACAGTGGCAAGTGAAGCCTGCCATTCAGTTTTGAAATCAATAAAAGCCATATTACAGCAGCAGCATCTGTAAATGAATGTGCTGTGTATTGCATTAAGAGGGATGACTTTATCATTTTGCCTTTGAATGCCTGAGAAACAATTTGCAAACTGGTCACATCCTGGAACTTGCAGTTCTACAGATAAATCACTTATACAGTTCCTGTAACAGCTTTTATTCTGGGAAGCTTCTTGAATTTAAAAATAGTTTCAGAGAGGCTTTGCAAATATTTGGTGCCAATGCACTAATGCAGTTAATCAATTTAATTTTTTCCTATCATGTTGTTTTTTTGTGTGCATATATTGAATCAATATTCCAGTTTATAACATCTCCTTCACCTTTTTTTTCATGGGCTTTACTAGATAACTTTCTAAAACCATTATTAAATACATGCATTCTACAACTATAAACAAGGCCAAATTTGTTTTAGTTTAGTCAAAGCGTCAACTTTGACATTTCTGTAAGCACATTCACTTTAATTCTCACTGTTAATTTTTCTGCATTGTCCTGATGTTCAAGGTTAGCATTTAGTTGAGCTTATGTCCATTTTAATGTCCCCTTTAGCATCTTGAAAAATTGCATCCTAATCTCTGTTCATCACCTTTTCACCAGTGAGTACAACATCAGGTTATGTCCATTCTGTCTGTGTAAATTTAGTCACCTAGTTTTGGTACTACTGCTTTGCACTCTGCAGCTTTCTTAGATCCTGAGTAATAAGGTATTCAGAGTCATCCCCTTCCACTTTGGAATTCTTGTGTTTATCATGCTTTGCAATTTCCATTGTTTTTTTGATCATGGCTATGGTGATCTGTGTTTTTATTCATTTTGCAGTCAGTCTTGAGCTATTGTCCTCCAAAGGCTACTGTCATAAATTCAAATTTCACTAATTTAAAACTCCTGAGCCCCTTCTGCTGTGTATACCTGTGTGAACTCTTCTGAATTCCCAATGGCTGTTTCTGCTCTGTCTAGTGCTGTGATTCTTACATACTGAACAGTAACAACACACTTGCTCTCATATTCCTTGCTCAACAACTAGATTTGGAAGCCTGTTAATGACCCAATCTTTCCTTAAGTCCTCTTAGAACACCTGCTAACCCATATTTTTGTCAAAGTACTTAGAGTTGCTCAAATTCCCCTTTCTTCATCTCTGTTTCAAAATTCAAATCACCTCTGACCAACTGCTTGTTCTCCTGCCTTAGGAAAAGGCTACTAGGTTTAAATGCAAATAAGCTTTCAAAGGTGGTCAGCTGGACTGTACTTTTCAGAAATGTTATTTGGCAATCTGAGGTTTTATATATACATATATTGAGAGAGGCAGATAATTTCCTCTAAGAAACAACTACTAATTGCTGTTAATCAATGCCACTGATGGTTTTAAATCCCTCAAAAACATGGATGAGCTATCTGAAGAGCCCTTACATTTAGAAAATGCATCCTGAATATCTCCTTAATTGCATATGTGTAGTGCTAATACTAATAGAGAAATCTAATATGTAATACTCTGCATATTTTCTTGTGTGTGTGTTTTTTGTCTTGTGTTGCTTGCTTTGCTTGTATTGGTGGTTTGCTTTAAGTATACATAAGTATTTAAAAGAAAATCTGGATATCAGGGTGAAGTATCCCACTTGCCTTCTTTCTCTAGGCCTTGCTACCGGAGCAGCGAGCAGTGCATGCAGATTCCTACCGGAGGATTGGGCACCTCTGACAGCTTGGCTGCTTATGATTTCATTCCTTACCATGATAAACACACACAAACACACGAACTGGCATAAGCTGAGAAACTTGAGGATCCAATTATTTTGTACTTTTTCTTTAAAAAAAAAAAAAGTCTCCACAGTGTTATTTATTTCTCTAGAAGCTATTTTGTGCAAGTTTACAAGCTGTCTTTTTTAATTTGTTGCAAAGACTTTTTATTTATGTTATTTAAAATATGGGGTTGCTCAGTGTGGAAAGAGACTATTTTTTCTCAAATGGAACTAATTTTATATGAGATTTGAAGAAAACCTGAGGTGTTTATACTCCACTTTTGTATAAGATGTATAAAGTTTTTAACAGGGAAAGATGACATTTTTGATGTAAATGAAAAATAAAAATTTTTTAAACATAATGTCTCTTGTCTTAATAGTATCAATAGTTTCAGCTTTGTGAACAAGATTTAACAAATTTTAGACAAGGTATTTGTCTTTGATACTGAGGATTGTCGTATCAGGATTTCTGGAAAAGATTTCTAATAGGAATGTACTTAAGTACAGATACTCAGCTTCTCTTTAGCAGATGTACCTGCACATTTAAGGAAAGAATTTGCATAGTATGTGGGCATATTCTATTTATTGTAGCCATAAAGTAAACAGGCAGTGCCAGAAAATGGAAAATTAACACACCAGTTTCTTGGACAGCATTCTTTATTCTTTGTCTCAAATTACCAAATTAAACTAGATTTTTAATTCTTTAATAGGTTAGCAAAACACCTCCTTAAGGCCTACGATTTTTTTCTAGATGGGAGCCATGAACCATTTCAGCTCTGTTTTCAAAGATCTTTTTGCTTCTAACTTTCTAATGGCCTTAGAGCTAACACTGCAGCTGGCCTCTCTCGTTAAATGTGAACTAATATGAAGTTAGAATGTTCTCAAATCAACTTTAAGGCAAAAAAAACCCCCAGGTATCATGGGTGTTGAGACCACTATAAATTCTTAGTTTCCACTTAACTACTCACTCAAGGCTCTTGCAATCTGTATGAATTTGTAATAGTCAGCTATGTTTTTGAATTCCAATCAAACTATGAACGATGGCTCAAGATAACTTGGCTACTAAATCCCCTCAATTTCTGCTTAGTAATGCTTTTTTAATCCAGGAAAATATCCAGTCCAGCCACAGTGTAAACCTGCTTTCTGTAGACTTTTTTCCAATTTTTCACAAGATAGTCATATAGCCCCTTATATAGATTTAAGGAATTTCTGGTGTTTATAACAAATAAAATGTTGAGTGGACTTCAATCAGTCCCCTAAGAGGATCTTTCTACAGTGGTTTAGATGAGCAACTACCTACCTGAAACAATCTTCCCGCAGTTTTTCATTTATCTTCCCAGACGTGTGAAGGTGCTTTGGTTTTGATGGTATGTCCTTTGGGGAAGGTTAGTGCTCTCTCAAAGTTAATCTTCTCAGGTGACTTCCTAGAGTTAGAGTAACATGGTAGCTTTAAAATAAAGACTCCCTTTCCTGGCTGTCAGTGTCTAAAATTCTCAGATACAACCAACCTTTCTTGTAGTTCCTGGTGTTTCTGTTATTTGAGAAAAATTTCATTCAAATGTTGGTGCAATGGGCACTCCAGTAAGTTGCTAGACTGTTACCTCACAGAAGAAAAAGAGGAAAACCTTTATAGAGTTCCTATTTGGTAAACATTGGTTATGAACAGCTAATCTTGTGAGGAAAAAAAAAAAAAAGAATCGAGTTTGCGTAATAGCATCCTACTTTTTTAGGATATTACTTCATTTCAAAGGGGCTTTGGTGTGGGAGAGTTGTACTGTCAGACTTGCCCTTATGACTTCACCTTAATTTTTTCTGAAATCATTAAGATTTTGATTGGCATTTTGTTTCCCCCATTCAAAAGAAATATGGCAGCACCCAAGAACACAAAAAGGAGACTTCCAGATCTATCACAGTAATGACAGAACTTAAATTTTATATGAGTTTCTCTTAGATCTGGTAATCTCGAGTGTAACTTAGAAAATCAGTTTAATGCTGCAAGTGTTCTTTAAGTGTTGCCATAATATTTTGCTTCCACGAATAGTTTATTCATTTAGTCTACTCTATAAAATAGACTCAAATGGGGAGTGCCAGCTATTTTCTTAAGCATAAACTGGGGGAAAAAAAGAAAAATGAATGTGAACTCAGTTTGGTTAACTGATTCTCATGTAAATATTGCTTTACAGGGGGGTCATGAGCAGCTTCTAAAAATGATGGAAGAACGCATGATTGATGTTGAACAGAAATTAAGGCTTGTGAAGAGGCTTCTCCAAGATAAAGTAAATCAGCTGAAAGAACAAGTAGGTGTTCTTACTCTCTTCCTCAGTTTGTCCCCATTACTTCTGTAAATAACAAGCTGCAAAGTCATTCTTGCTTAGAATAAAGTTAAAGGTGCTTTCCTTTTTATTTAAGGCTTCTGAGCTAAAGTACAGCCTATTTGTCTATTCCTAAAACTCCAAATTGGGCTTACTTCTTCAGCACTGTTCTTGCTTTTAATTTATATTTATTTTCCTTTTAATTTGCTGAGTAATTCTGTTCTGTTCACAATTCAGCTTTCCAAGAACACTAAGGCAGATGCAGTGGTCAAGGATCTCTATGTTGAGAATGCACAACTGCTGAAGGCTTTGGAGATGACAGAGCAGCGGCAGAGAACTGCTGAAAAGAAAAACTATTTACTGGAAGAAAAAATTGCCAACCTCAATAGGATAGTAAAGAACTTGGCATCCCCATCATTTCATTCAGCATCCGAGATAAGGTCATAGCAAAGACATACAGTATGCCACGGTCCCGTGCACTTTACTAAAATTATTTTTTAGCTTTTTACTGTGTTGCCTTTTTGTATTGGTGACTTTTAGTTAACGGGTACCTCCAAGGAGAGGACAGAGCTAAATCCCAAACCAGACACTGCCAAAACAGAATTTTTGTTTATTCCCAAACTGTTTTTCTGCTAAGTTTTGTCTAAAAGTAATCTTTGCTATGTAAAAGAACAAGACATGGTTTCTTAGGTTAACTTATTTTGATACTTTGTTTTTAATTTAAAATATAAATTCTGAATTTACTGTATTGAATCAATTACTCATATCTAGATTGAAGCCAAGGTCTAATGCAAACATGCATTACTGAATTCAAACCTTTAAAATACTTTTGGCTTTCTAGAATACTTCATGCTCCAAAGCCAGTAATATTGATAGGTGAGCCTTCAACACTGTCAGTATAACTGGTATTGAAAGCAAGACTTTCTTGATATGGTCTGCGTCTTGTAAACTGATTCTGGTTTTTGTAAAGCAATATGCTCCACTTGATGTGTTGGGCTTCTGGGTTATTCCTCATGGCCATTTCTCTGCAGAGCTCAGAGAAAAAGAAAGTTTTATTTAAAATATGTAAATAGCCTACTGCCTCCAAGTAAGTGTAACTGCTTCATCTGAAGAATTTTCCCAGCTGGCAACTAAAGACTGCTACTCTTTTTTTTCTTTTTTTTTTTTTAAGCTGTGCTGCCAGACAATGTAAAAATTGTAGAGGCCTTATTTTTTTTTTTTTGCATATGGAGATAAGTTACTAAAGAAGGGAAGAGTCATTAAGCTGAAGATGGGAGTTTTGCTTATATAATTTATAAATTCAGTAAAGCAGCAGGACAAGTTTGTTAAAGAACTGGAAGAAGAATGAAGAGGGGGATTTGAATAATTTCATCAGTGAAATCCCATCATTAGGCCTCACAGATGTGGGCCTTTGCCATTAATGCAGTGTTTGTTTCAATCTGAGTGGTAATTTGGAAAAGCCTGTCTTTTGCATTAGGCCCTAGTATAGAATCTAAGTTTGTAATTAATTGTGAGGAAACATATTCAATGTGACTATGAAGAACTCAGGGAATAACAGCCTAAATTAGTTTCCTTCAATGTTATAAATGTGGATATTAATGTCAGTGGATGAAGATAAATATGCATTAGGGAAGGCAGGACAAAACAAATTGCACTTGGATGAGTATTACCTTAGTACTCCTAGACAAATATGCAGAAGTTCTGTGGCCATGAAGGTAGCAGAACATCAAGGTCCTGTTTGATCAGCCCATGAGGCTGGGGAGATGCAAGTTTTCTGGGAACACCTTCAAGACTGAGAGGCGTCTGAATTGGAAGCAGCTGAATAAGAACTTACATGCTCAAATGCTTGTATGTAACCTATTACTGCAAATAGTCTAAATGCCCTGCAACTGCCTTGTCTCCATCAGACCAGTAAGACATCTAAACAATGTAAGTAAAACTAGTGAAAGGGGCCACACCGGCAATGCTTCAAACGGGACCTCTTCATATACACGTGAATTGAGAATACAGAGGAGGAGAGTAGATAGTTTGTCTCTGAGACCACTAGTGAGGTGATGGTTCCGGCTGCACTTGTAATGAGCCAAAAGTCCCCTAGAAACGGGGATAATTCTGCCTTACAAGGTCAGTACTGATCAGCATGTGGCTGTAGGGGATGCTCCCTATGTCCAAGTGATTATTTACCGATTTTGGAGGGTTGAGGGACTGAGCTAGACACACAGGGTGATGACCTCCTCCTCCCTTCCTTTCTGCAGGGAATATAGTGGAAGTGGAAATACGATCATGTAAGAAGAACACATCGGAGTATCAAAGTCTCTATAAATTACTTCACTGCTATGCTATTCTAAATGCTTTTAGTGTGCATTTTTCCAAGTAATCTCAAATTCGGGGATTTGTATATCCTGCTTCTCAGAGGCTGCAAAAAGTTTTTTGCTGTGTGTCAGCAATATGGTAACTGAGCAAAATTTCAAAATACTTCCAGGAAACAATCTTAAGCAGGTTCAGATGATCAGCACTGTATTTTGGAAAATATTATTAGCTAGCACATTTTAACACTACTTCATATCTTGACCTAGGTAACCTTCTAACACTCAGTCTGTGACTGGTGTCTGAATGCCAGTGAGAAGGAACGGGTACTTCACTTAAGCTATTGTGCAATTAGTTTCACATTACTCAGTTTTAAAGGCTAGACTACTTAACTAATTCTTTTAACCTCCTGGTAGTTACCAGGCTTTTCTAAACCAAACATACAGACACTTTTAGAGCACAGTAGCAAAAAGGCAGCTGGGATGCTGGAATAGAGAGGGGAAAAATGGAGTAAAGGGAATTTTGACTCCTCCCTTTCTCACCTAACTTGCTCTACTTTTCTTTCACTTAGCTTCTAAAAACTAATCTAATCACAGGAGAGAGGAGGAGGTTTGGTAAATATTTCTTAAGCGAAACATCAGTTTCACTGGAACACTTGTGTGAATTAATCCTCAGAAGTGCCTTTTGTAATTACATATTCTAGAGCCTTTCTGTACTGTACTGGTTTTGTGGCTACAGGAAAATTCAGGATAATCCCTTCCCAAAAGGAGGGAACACAGAGAAAAGTAGTGCTGCTTGCAAACAAGTGTCACGTTGCTTCTTGGTCCATTGTGTCAGCTCAGAAGATAAGCAGCTAGTTTATTAAGCCCACACTACTGAAAACAAGCATAGAAACACATAATTTATTAAGTATAAATGGTCTTTTGTGCATGAATGTGTATCCTATGCAGTATAGGCTTTTTAAAGATACCAAAGTATCTATTGGTATTGTACCAGTTGAAAAGAACTGAATTTCTAGGCCTCACTCATTACAACAGGTCTTGTCAATTAAGACACTAACTACCTTGTGACCAGAAGATGTTTTAAATGTTTTCAACTCTTGCTTTATGAATCACTGTGAAAATAAAGGCACATGGATATCTCGGGTTAGGAGTTTGGGAAGGGGAGAGACAGCAAGTTAAGTTTATGTGTACTGAACTCTCACAGTAGAAGTGCCACTTGTCAATTTGGAATTATTTAAAAGGATACACTGTCACATGTTCTCTAATTACTACTTTAAATGTAAGGAAAATTGAGTTCTTTGAACCCTGATTGGAAAAAAAGGGGGGGGGGGGGGGGGGTAAAGATTCTACCATGTTTTAATTTAGCCAGGTTATGTGGAAGGTAGGGCATGGAACTGTTTGGCTCTATAAAGAGAAAGCATCCTTTTGTTTACTTTCAGCAAATGCTATCACTGTCTCTCAGGTTTTCCATCATTTACCTGTTAAGTCTCCTGTTTGGTGTCAGGTGCTGTCATTTCATAACAAATGACTTCTGTGTAAATGAGAACAAGTGTGTATTATTTTTTCTATTGAGTTTTTTGTTCTGGTGTAATGTATTGTCCTTGCAACATCAGGTAAAACTGAAAGATGAACCAACTACACATTATTTATAATGAATGTATTAAATATATAAAAATATTGTATTATCCATATTTGTGTCATTTGTGTTTTATCCAATATCAGAACACCTCACTATCTTCCCATGGAAGTTTTAGGTACTTCAAACCCAGTCTGCAAAGGCACAGGCAAGGCTATCGTAACAGGACAGTCTGGGAGCTACTTTTGGAGTGAGTAGTTTATTCTGTCATGAAAGTATGAAAAGTGTAGAAAACTGAGAGGTAATGAACACACCTCGTCTTACTTTCAGGCACACTCTGCCCTCGCCTTCATATGGAAAATACCGAGTGTTTCTTGCTTTCCCGTTTAACCTTATAAATCTCACTTCCCGTCACTGGGATGGGAGGCACGGCCGCTAGTCACGGAGCTCCGACTAGGCCCGAGCTCCCCACGGTGCTCCGTCGTCCCTCCCGGCCAGGCGAGGGTCCCTCAGCCGCGGTGCCTGCAGGGCGGTGGGGTGGGTGCATCCGCCCTCCCCTGTCCCTGGCGCCGCCTCTCGGGGCGGGCGCTGAGGCGGATCTCGTCCCGCCGCCGCACCGGCTCAAGCGCCCTCCCGGCCGCGCGGGGGCGCTGTGGCGGCGCGCACCGGTTCCCCTCCCCTGCCCCGCGGCCTTCCCCGGAGGGCGGAGGCCGCTGTCCCACAAGCCCCCGCGCGCCGCCCGTTTCCCCCGTGTACGGTGTGTGTCCCCCCGGTCCCAGGTGCGCAGCCATGAGGGCGCGGAGCCACCGCCGCCCTGCTTGAGGGGGCCGGGCAGAGCGGGGAGCGGCGCCGGGCATGCGGGCGGTGGTAGCGGGCCGGGAGGTGGGATGCTGTCGCGGAAGAAGACGCGGACGGAGCTCTCCAAACCGGGTGAGGTACAGGGCAAGTACGTGAAGAAGGAGACGAGCCCTCTGCTGCGCAGTGAGTGTCAGGGATGGGCTGGGGGCCGGGCTGGGCGGGCAAACCCGAGGACTTCGGCGGGGGCCGTGTCCTTTGTGTGCTTCGGAGAGTCCCAGAGGCTCTGGGGACTCCCGGGAGTTGTCCTGTTGTGAGACCCGAGGGTTGGTAGAGGGAGGTTCAAGCTGGAAAAGAAGCTGAATTTAAAAGGGAGCCCGACACATAGTGTATGTACGTGTTCATAGGTGTTCGCTGTAAACAAACTTTAGCGGTTCTCCGCAGCAGTTGCTCAGTTTCAGCAGATGGGGGTTAAGACAGTCTCCGCACAGATATCGCTGAGGTGAATGGAACAGATAATAGAACCACAGAGCAGCTTAGGTTGGAAGGGACCTTAAAGCTCATTCAGTTCCGCCCCCCTGCCGTGGACAGGGGCGCCTTCCACTAGGCCAGGTTGCTCAAAGCCCCATCCAACCTGGCCTTGACCATTTCTGCCTTTCCAGAAGTTAATGGTTGTTTTCCCAGTCTAGGCTGTGTGCACTGCCAAAAGGTGTGTGCTTTGAAAATGAGATAACTGTATGAGAGAGTTGCATAAAATCCCTGTGGAAGCAAGTGCTCCAGTTCTTAAACCATGAATCAACTTGATGAGGTCACCGCTATGTACCTGAGATGCATTGATGTTCTTGCGGTTAACCTGATGTAAATGCCACAGTTCTGCTCAAACTATACTATACATGTTATACTATACAATACACATTGAAAGTGCATTTAGATTTCTTTCTGTTAATCTTTGAAAAACAACCTGACACTGAAACATATTATGCTAGAATTGCAAGATT